CTATGTCAACCTCAAACTAGCAGTCAGATAAATGCTGTAAAGGAACTCGGTCAGCATACTTGTTACTCCCGATGATCCCAGATCTCACTGCTGGTTGAAGCAATGGTTCTATAAATCTGCACCCTTGTAAGCAGGAGACCCTCCCCCACCCATACTACCACTGCCAGCAAGAATGCCCTGTGGCACCAAACAGGTGATTTGGCAATGAAAGTTTACCATTAAAGTAGATGTAAATTCTTAGCCAGTCCTTCTCAACCAGGGTTCCATGGAACTCTAGGGTCCCTTCCAAAGGTTTCCTTGAGCCAAGAATGGTTGACCTCCCAGTTGGCATAGTGCCACTTGGCAGCATCAGCTGCTTAAACCCAAAGCTGTCAGTAAGGGTGGCATTCTGACCATCACTGCAACCAGGACATTCTTCTCACTTGCCATCAGTATACGAGCCTCCCCCCCCCCCCCCCCCCCCCCCCCCCCAATCACTACCAATGAATTGTTGCATGGGTTCCTTGAGACCTGAAAAATATTTCACGAGTCCATCTGGGATAAAAAGATTTAGAAAGGCTGCTCTAAGTGAATGACATTTAGTTGAGGGATTTTTTTACCCTTTTTCATTCATCAGTACTGCTAATCTCCTGCAGTTCCTACATGCACTACAGGGATAGCTGCTTGGTATTTCCAGGGTTTGCTGATGACGACAACCATAGCCCACACCTGCATAATACCGAAACTGCCACTTGTAGTCTCCATCGGATGCCGGCCCAACAGGATAACAGCGCAGGAGCATAACTGGGAGACAGGCAAAGAACGTTGGCACCCTACCGTAACAGGAGGTGCCTGAACAAGGATCTTCATGGCAGGATCACTGCAATAAAATCTGCAAATTTACAATTGCTGAAAATGACAGTTGAAAAGAAAATTAACATGTAAAAGCCTAAAATATGTTGCAACATAAATAACCAAGATGGCAAGATATATACACATATGATGCTACTGTATGCAAATGTTAATATACATGTTATTCACTCAAGTAAGAGAAGTGACAAAGTAAAGAAATGTCCACAAAGATCATGATCTACGGAAAAAAGAAAAATGTGTCCAAAGTTGTCTCTTTGAGAGTGCAAGACAAATATGCTTCTTCCTTTCTCAGCAGTATTATAATCGATGGTGTCGATCAGGGGCGGACTGACAACTCATGGGGCCCCTGCGCAATAGGAAATGATGGGGCCCCTGTGCCCTCACCCACACTCAAACCACACCCAAAAAAGCCTATGAAAGGTACCAGAGGCATCTCATGGGGCCCCCTACTGACCCCGGGCCCTCGGAGAGTGCCCGAGTGGATAAATGGTCAGTCCACCCCTGGTGTCAATAATATCCACCGTCACCCAGAGAATACTTTCCAGATCCTTAGGACCCCCTTGCTAAAAGTGGCCCATAAATCCCTCAAGCAATTCTCATGGTCATCACTAGCCTCTTCAGCACATTTTCACCCAAAGAAGCCACCCACCAAACAGTCAAGTCCGGTCACCCAGCAATATAACTCATGCAAGGGAAAATAAACGCCTCTCATAGTGTAAAACGTCTTCTACAACATTTATTCTACGTAAAAATTGCAATCGCATTTGAATAAAAACAATGTGCGCTGAAAATCAATCACCAGGCCAACTTGCTGCGTCCGCTTCCGGTACACGATGAAGTCAGTAAAAGGCTCCGTCCGAAATGTTTCGTCATCAAGACGTCTTCTGGGGCCCGCGCATTGAGTGTCATTTTTATATGGAATAAATGTAAAGACATTACACGATGAGGTGTTTATTTGCCCTTGCACCAGTTATATTGCTGGGAGACCGGACATGACTGGTGAGTGGCTTCTTTGGGTGACCTGGGAAGGTGTGCTGAAGAGGCCAGTGATGTCCATGAGATGATTGATTGAGGGCTCTATGACCACACTTAGCAAGGGGATCATGAGGATCTGGTAAGCCTGCATCCCTGATACCACTCTCAGTGACACCATTGATATAATAGTGCTGAGAAAAGAAGAAGCTTACCTGCCTTGCACTCTCAAAGGGACTACTTCTTCAGACACAATTTTTTTTATCTTTCCTTGCTCTGGATCTTTAGCCCCCCCCCCCCCCCCCCCCCCCCCCCCTGGACATTTGTTGTCACTTATCTTACTTTAAAACACGTACTGTACAGGCGTACCCTGGCTTACGAACACCTCGGTTTACAAATTTTTTTCACAATACAGATTAATTCGTTTTCAATGCATTTACGAATTTTCATGTTAATCATGTCCCTGTACAGTATGTATGCCTTTAAAGTGCACTTTATAAAGAGTTTTGAACAGATAAGACTTTTTTTCTGACCTCCGGAACGGGTTACTTGGTTTTCAATGCATTTACTAATTTTTTTTAATCATGTCCCTTTATGCCTTTACCACTTGCCTAATGGCACTTATACCCCCTTCCTTACCAGGCCAATTTTCAGCTTTTAGTACTGTCGCAGTTTGAATGACAATTGCGCGGTCATGCAACATTGTACCCATATGTCATTTTTTTCTCACAAATAGAGCTTTCTTTTGGTGGAATTTAATTGCTACTGGGTGTTTTATTTTTTGTGCTATAAACAAAAAAAGAGCAAAAATTAAAAAAAAAAAAAAAGTTTCTTTGTTTCCATTATAAAACAGGTAATTTTTCTCCTTCACTGATGTGCGTTAATGAGGTTGCACTGATAGGTGGCACTAATGAGGTGGAACTGATAGGCGGCACTAATGAGGTGGAACTGATAGGCGGCACTAATGAGGTGGAACTGATAGGCGGCACTGATGGGCACAGGTGGGTGGCACTGCTAGGCACTTGTGGGCGGAACTGGTGGGTGGCACTGATCATAAGTGCCCTGATGATCGGTGCCGATCTCTGCTCTGACAACTGCTGGTTCTCGGCAGTACTTTCCTCACGGTCTGACAGTGTAAGGAAAGTGCAGCCGAGAACCGGCAATTGCATTTACTGGTGATCAGCGTGTCATTGGACATGGCTGATCACGTGGTAAAAGGCTGCTGTGATTGGCCTTTTACAACATCACGTGATCAGCTGAGTCCGTAGGACTCAGCAATCACAGAGATCACCGGGGGGCGCAAGAGAGCATGTTCTGGGAGGACGTCATATGACGCCCTCCCAGAACTGGCCGGCCGCAGTGCAGCCATCATTTTGGCTATCCGCGGTCGGCAACTAGTTAAAGTGCATTTTATAAAGACTTTTGAACAGATAAATGACTTTCTTTTTTACTTTTTTCTGACCTCTGGGACAGATTAATTGGTTTTCAATGCATTCCTATGAGAAACCGCGTTTCGGTTTACGAATTTTTCAGAATACGAAAAGTCCCGCAGAACTAATTCAATTCGTAAACCGAGGTACGCCTGTATATTCATCTTTGTGTACTATAACATCATATTTATATTTGTTTTGCACTTTTGGTTATTTATAGCACAACACGGTGTTTGTCTTTTTAAGTTGATACTATTAGAAGGGATATCTTCTTTTTTTTGTGTTTGCCGCTTTTTAATTTTAGCCCAATTTACAGCCCTTTCTGCACGATTTCCATATTTCCAGGTAAAAGCCGATATGACATCTCACTGACCGGGTTTACATCTACTCTAAACCATCTTCGTATACAACTGGAATGATTGGTTAACTTTCTTTTTGATATCAAATTTTCGAGTTTCCCAACCATCAGAAACAACATCTTTAAACCTTTTTTTTTTTTCTTTCTAAATAAGACTACAATCCCATTCTAGAATGAATACGTTTATTGTCTTACAAAATTTATTGTCTAGAAATATGAGATATACACGGAAGTGAGAGGTATGGGGGGCGATCCAAGGGGATGGGGTGGGAGATTCTGGCAGCTGTTATGTATTTAAAAAAAAAAAAAAAAAAAATCATAATAAATGAACAGACACTTGAATGAGCGCAGAGATAACTTGTATAAACTATGAAACTGTCTCCAGCTCAGGATGGGTAACCAAAACTCCACCCAAGTCTGGAACGGTCAAAGCCTTTAATAATAATTATAATAAAAAAAAAAAATGCTATTTTCCAGCACAAGAGTTTGGATAATACTGACTTTTGGATTGACGTCATAGTTACACATGATATAATATGCACAATAAAGTCATCACATTAGTTCCATAGGGACAAGTGGATATGTACTTTATTATTCTCAATTGTCTAAGTGGCTAAGGCACCTTTTTTTTTTTTTTTTTTTTTTTTTTTTTTTTTGTTTGTTGTCACGTTTTTTTTTTTTTTTGTCATGTTTTGTTTTCCCCATTTACGTTTTCCAAGAAAGTGCTAATCTTGAGTTGGAATTTGGTTTAGATATCAATTGCTGCTGCGAAGAGGTTGAAATCCCAAAGGAAAAAAAAAAAATTATACAGTTCTCTCCCGCCACCAATCCCTACCTTTTAAAGAAAAAAAAAAAAACAAACTGGCGGAATTCACAGTTTAGTTATGGAAATTCTTTGATAAAAAGGATCCACAGAAAGTTCCGTAGTTTATAATGGAATAGGGTAAGGACATAGGAGCTTCTAGAACATGCAAAGGGACGATTTGATCCCATGTCCTCCCTTCACCTCCCCCACCCCCTCCCTCGGGACAGAGAACATGTAGTGCGTCTTTTTGTTTTTTTTTGTCCATATGATGCTCGAAAGAGGAACGAAATGAAGTCTGTAGGATAACGCAGAGCACAGAACTCATTCTCATTGGCTGCCTTCTGAATATGGGGGGTGGGAGAGGTGGAAGAAGATGGCTTCCATCTCCTTCCTGCAGAAAAGGGCACTTTCAGCAGGAGATTGGTTCAGCGGATTGGGATTTTTAGCAAAGTGGAGTGGCCTGAGAAGAGGGTGTTACAGCCCCCCCTACCCCCAGGCTCCCTCTGTCTGTATGACCTGTAGTGCTGCCGTGAGCAGTTTAGTGTCCCTTCCTGACAGGCAGAGGACTTGCAGAGAGAGGAGGTCACTCGGAGGGGGTGGAAGCCGTTGTCTCGTTGACCTCGTTGGTTTTGCTCTCTGTCTCATCATCTGAGAGGTCCATAGACGTGCCCTCTATCTGCAATGGTCGGCGACCAGAGCGGCTGGAAGATGAGGAGAAGGATATGGGTCCACCTCGCCTGGAAGAAGAAAAAAAAAAAAGCAACTTTAAAGTAGTTGTAAACTCATACATATTTAATCTTCTTAGTAGGCTTAGTAGGGCAGGAGGTTCATATACTATATTTGCCAACTCATACATATACCCAGTGAAGTGATTGGCCTAAGGCAGTGGTCGGCAAGCCGCGGCTCTTTGCACACTTTAATGCGGCTCTTCTGTGTGCCGGGCGGCCGCCCCAAAAGTCAGGACTCTGCAGCTAGCCCAGCAATGGCAAACTACGGCCCGGCGGACCTTTTAATCCGGCCCACGGAGCGTGGCAAACATTGGCTGTGAGGATGTAGGCGGGGCAGCGTGACGAACTCCTCTCCTCTCACAGTCCGCCCTGAAGACCGGAACAGCGCGGGAACACGGCGAGAGGAACGCGCCGAGCAAAGGTAAGTGAATTGACACAATATGGGGAATGAATTACTATAGGGGGGATGAATTACTATAGGGGGGATGAATTACTATATGGGGGATGAATTACTATATGGGGGATGAATTACTATGGGGGATGAATTACTATATGGGGGATGAATTACTATAGGGGGGATGAATTACTATAGGGGGGATGTATTTTCAGTTTTAAAATTGTGGCTCTCAAAATAAATTTCAATCGTGGTTTTGGTGAGATTTGGCTCAGTTGAAAAAAAAGGTTGCCCACCACTGGCCTAAGGTGATACACAGATCCTCCTATGTATATTGTACCTGTTTATCTACAGCCCTCTAAAGCATGCCAATCAAAGGCTTTTTCTCAGCTCCAGCGTTACAGAGCTGGGTGTAATCTGAGATCTGAGTAGAGGGAAAGGACCCCCCCCATCCCATTACATAGTTATAAGCATGACTCCCCAAGGCAGAGGCATGATGGGACTTGTAGTTTCGCAACAGCTGGAGGGCCGCCAGTTTGACACCCCTGCGTGTGTACGGTCTCAATCCAAAGCAATGGGTGTGGTTTCTGTCTCCGCCATCATCCCTCTAAGTGTCTTGTAGCAATGGCACCGCACGGTAGGTAGAAAACAACTGCTTTCTATGTGCTTGGTTCACACCACACATGTACGTCCGTATACAGAAAAACACAGCTCAACAGACACGGTGCGAACAAGTCATAGAAACAATTCTCGTCGCTGTGGAAAGTCGATGGTGAGGCTGCTCTCATGCAGCAGGGGGTCCCTGACCAAGATATCAAAGGTCCAAAATGAGAAAACTTTTGATAGGAGCGCCGAACAGTCTTTGATTAGTTCACATTGATATCGGGGTAACCATCCAACACGCTTCACAGGTACTGACAGCCCCGCTTCAGCAGAGCTCCGATTTTGAAAAGTGACGCGGTTTGAGAACTTACTAAAAAATGAATGAGGCCGACAACCACCAGCAGTATCTCAGTGGCTTAATACACCAATGCTGATAGAATGAGCCACCAAGCCAATGCTCCTGACAAGTGTCGTCCTAAATATTTTCCTGTAATACCTTTTTTTTTTTTTTTTTTTTTAATAAAGGACCAAGGCATAGAAGCACGCCTATCAAGGCTACAAGAAGATAACGGTACATGTTGGTAGAATCCAAAAAACAAAGGTATACCGCTCAGGCAAACAATCCAGATCAATCCACAGCAGGTGCAGACTGTGGCTCACCACCACACACAATGCAATAGGAAGAAGGGCAAGCCGCACATCGGAGGCTAGAAGAATATCTATCCATTCAGTCATAGCCGACCCTTGGTGATTGCACGGACCGTCACTCGTAAGCGACTTCTTCCATGAATTCTCTTAGCAATTATTTTATAGGGTAGGTTGCCAGGTCTTTCCCCAACCCCCACCATGCAGGAGATCCCACATGGACAGGGAAATAGATGAATATAGTGTGTATTTATTGATCCATGGGACACACAAAACACCAGTCATGCAACCCTACATGTTGGTAGGACACATACATAAAAAAAACAAAAAAGCTCCAGTGATCAGCCTAATTCATTTTACCAATAAGTTCCCAAACCAAATGGTCTCATTTCATGATTATGCAAACGCCAAGTCCTGATGAAGGGTGGAGTATCAAAACTCCCGAAACGTGTTCAAGTTCAACCACAGTTGTGATATTTTGCACAATAAAGGAAGCTCCGAACCCAAATAAATGTGTGCAGTCTTCATCTTTGTAAAACAACCACATTACACCCAAAAGAGGGGGAAAAAAAAATGGGATTTTTTGCACTTGCTGCAAAATCCCTTTCTCTGAGTTCATTGATGGACACAACATCTCCTTATCTACAACAAAGTAGGGGTTGTGTAGCCCCACCTACTAGGAACTAGTGTTCTAATGGTGTATATACACTTTAACAGCAATTAACTGCAACAATTCCCTTAAACCCATTCGCTGCCATGTCCATACGTCATATGGACCTAACAGCGAGGGGGGGGGGGGGGTTTACACATAATCCAAAGGCTGCAGCCCCCCTGGATTGTGTCTAAAATTGCAAGACTCCTGCGGTTAGGTGGTGGCAGAATGCTTCCATCGCCCCCCGGTAATGTCTCCCCCCAATGCATGCCATGTCCATACGTCATATGGCCCTAACAGCGGGGGGGTTTATACACGTCCAAAGGCTGCAGCCACCCCCCCCCCCCCCGGGAATGTGTTTCATATTGACAGACTCCTGCTGTCAGGTGGTGGCAGAATGCTTCCATCGCCCCTGGTAATGCTGTCCCCCAATGCATGCCATGTCCATACGTCATATGGACCGAACAGCTAAAATTGACAGACTCCTGGTGTCAGGTGGAAGCAGATTGCTTCCATAGCCCTTGGTAATGTCCCCCACCCCACGCATGCTCCTGACATGTATTCCAGGCTCCACCTGCACTCCCCTGTACTGACATGGCGGGCTGCGTTCAAGGTCCTCCCCTTCTTGCTGTGACCTGTGATATGTCACTTCCGGGTCACCGCAGTCACTTTCCACAGCTAGAATAACGGGGGAGAGATGTATTGCAATGTGATTTGCATTGCAATACATCCAGTGGATCCCAGAGGAGACATTAATAGGTTCTCTTTAATGAGACATGCAGGGTCCAAGAGACTGTCACCTAAAAATCATCACATAAGGGGACTTTGTGTCCTCTAGGTGATGAAAAAAAAAAAGTTGCACACCGGAGAGCGATAATTCTAGCTCCAGACCTCCTCTGTAACACTAAACTGATGACCTGTAGGGGCTTTTGAAGCCACGGCTATAGAAAATATAGTGTACTTACGTTTGTCACCATTTCACAGGCACGTGCAAATTTAAGGTTTGACATGTTTGGTATCTATTTACTCGGTGCAACCTCATCTTTTTCTGTTAGTGCCCTAAAATTCACTTTAGTATGTTCTTTACAGAAATGTTGTGTTTTCTAGACCTTTGCGGTAATATCGTGTGACATAAAAAATTGGAACTACCCCTATTTTTTTCTCTAGGGCACAGGTGTCAAACTGGCGGCCCTCCAGCTGTCCAAACTACAAGTCCCATGAGGCATTGCAAGATTTACAGCTACAAATATGACTCCCAAAGGCATAATGGGACTTGTAGTTTCGCAACTGCTGGAGGGCCGCCAGTTCGACATCCCTGCTCTAGGGTGTCTGCGTTCAGAAAATATATGTTTGGGGGTTTTATGTAATCTTCAGACCTAAAATTATTATTTTTTTTAAACGTGTACAAAAACTGCTCTGGCAGCTAAAGGGTTAATGGGCTTTACAGGGGCTTAGGGGATGCCTGCCACAACCAATCAATACTGACGTGTGTGGAACAATGGTGGAGAGTCTAGAAAGCCCTCTCCCCTTCCCTCGGTCTGCCACTGATCGCCGGTTAGGTGCAATCTTCTCACCTTAGTCGGTTCTTCAGAGTGGTCACTTCCCTGGTCAGACCCTCGTTGGCCTCGCATGCGTCATCCAACTCCCGCTGCAGCTTGCGCCTTGATGCGTTTGCCCGGGTGGCTTCTTCTTCTGCCTCCTCCAGCTGCCTCTTCAGCTGTTTCATGCGAGTGTTGGCTTTCTCCATCTACAGAGGAGAAGGCACGGCTCATTAGTAAGATGGCAGCCCCGGGAGCACAGATATCTGGCATGACATATAAGAAAGTGAATTGTCCGTCCTTGAAGGAGTGATGTGGGCTCAGGGCTGCAGCGAGGTTCCAGGGGTGATGGCTACAGACCCAAATCCATCTTAACCTTTCCCAATGTACATAAATGTGCATGAAATTCTTTACCAAAATACAAAAAAAAAGGAAGTTGCAATGTTCAGATACAACCATAACCCAGTGACAAGGGCAGTTTTGTCACCCCAAGGCAGCCACTACTGGAGATTGGAGGGGGAAAGTCGGTCGTTACAAGCAGGGGCGGACTGACAACTCATGGGGCCCCGGGCAATAGGGGATCATGGGGCCCCTGTGTCCTTGCCCAAACTCAAAAAAAAGCCTATGAAAAAGGTACCAGGGGCATCTCATGGGGCCCCCTACTGACCCCGGCCCTCGGGCAGTGCCCGAGTTTCCAAATGGTCAGTCTGCCCCTGGTTTCAAGCAACTGCTGGTCCTTTAGAGACTATGGGGGGAGTTAAAAGGGATATTAAAAGTTTTTTTTTTTTTTTTTTAATACGTCATACTTACCTGCTCTGTGTAATAGTTTGCAGAGAGTGGCCCTGATCCTCCTCTTCTCGGGTCCCCCACTGGCGCTCCTGGCTCCTCCCTCTTGAGCAGTGCCCCTCATAGCAAGCCACTTGCTATGGGGGGCACTGGTGCGTGCTCGCTCCTGAGCCCTGCTCTACGTGTCTGTAAGACACCATGTGCCGCGGGCTCGGCCCTCCGCTTCTCCTCATGTGACTCAGCTGCACGTCGCAGGATCGAGAAGGGGCTCAGCTGAGTATTTGGGGGGGGGCAACACACCTTTTTTTTACCTTCATGCATAGAATGAAAAACCTTCAGCCTTTACAACCACTTTAGGAGAGCAGTTCAGACTTTATGCCTGCGCCACTCTTCTAAGTTAGGGAAACTGAGCAGAATCTGCTCCTGATTGACAAAAGGGTCACAAGCTAGACATGGCACAGAAAGCAGTTCAGCTGGAGCTGCATGCGCTGGATCCCTCTGCAGTTAAAGTTCCACTTTATGTCCTCCTCTCCCCCTCCTAACATTTTTGGCAAATTTTATTTTTTTGGAAGGGGGGTCCTAGTTTTGGTAGTACCTGCTCCTACTGCCTATGGAATTGCCTCGGCGGTTCCACCAGAAGTCCGACTCCCATTGCATGCAATCTCTAAGGATAAGTTACAGGTCCCAGGGGGCTGCGGGATCATTTTCAAAGTGCAGAGCGGCTCGCTAATGTGCAGTGTTAGGCCAGCTGTGAAGCCGCAAGGAGTCAGCTTCCCACACACAACTTGCCAGCTCCCTGAACACTGGCGAAGGACTGGCCCAGGCGAGGACAGTGCTGGATCCCTGGACAGTAAGGTGGAGATTTACTAAATACTCAAGAGTGCAAAATTTGGTGCAGCTTTGCATAGAAACCAATCAGCTTCCAGGTTTTATTGTCAAAGCTAAATTGAACAAGCTGATTGGCTACCATGCACCCGTTTCAGTAAATCTCCTCCTAAAAGTCCTTCAAGTCAGCAGCTGAAGAACCTCTTTAAAGTGTCACTAAACCCCGGACCATGCATTCACTATATCCGGTCTCCCCGGACCCCGCATTCACTATATCCGGTCTCCCCGGACCCCGCATTCACTATATCCGGTCTCCCCGGACCCCACATTCACTATATCCGCTCTCCCCGGACCCCGCATTCACTACATCCCCTCTCCCCGGACCCCGCATTCACTATATCCGCTCTCCCCGGACCCCGCATTCACTATATCCGGTCTCCCCGGACCCCGCATTCACTACATCCGCTCTCCCCGGACCCCGCATTCACTACATCCGCTCTCCCCGGACCCCGCATTCACTACATCCGCTCTCCCCGGACCCCGCATTCACTACATCCGCTCTCCGCTCTCCCGGACCCCGCATTCACTACATCCGCTCTCCCCGGACCCCGCATTCACTACATCCGCTCTCCCGGACCCCGCATTCACTACATCCGCTCTCCCCGGACCCCGCATTCACTACATATGGTCTCCCCGGACCCCGCATTCACTATATATGGTCTCCCCGGACCCCGCATTCACTATATATATGGTCTCCCCGGACCCCGCATTCACTATATCCGCTCTCCCCGGACCCTGCATTCACTATATATGGTCTCCCCGGACCCCGCATTCACTATATATGGTCTCCCCAGACCCCGCATTCACTATATCCGCTCTCCCCGGACCCTGCATTCACTATATCTTCTCTCCCCGGACCCCGCATTCACTATATCCGCTCTCCCCGGACCCCGCATTCACTATATCTTCTCTCCCCGGACCCCGCATTCACTATATCCGCTCTCCCCGGATCCCGCATTCACTATATCTTCTCTCCCCGGACCCCGCATTCACTATATCTTCTCTCCCCGGACCCCGCTTTCACTATATCTTCTCTCCCACAGTACACAGAACATGGAAATTCAATTATTTTGGTAAATATAAACTGCTAAATTCCTTTTCTCATCAACAGTATAGAGCAGTCTTGTGACTTCTATCAGTGTCCAGCAGAGCACACGTTAAAGCTTGTAGGAGGAGTTTTCATTCTGCTCTAGGAGAATGCAGAACCCCTAACCTCTGTCTGCACAGTGATAAATGGCCCTGTGCTGATCACATATACTCTCCCAAGAAAAAATAAAAAAGCCTCTCGAGAAATACACACCAAACTGAGCATGTGCAGAGTGACCACACAATTTATCAGTAGATAAGATGGAGGGACACTGGATCAGAGAAGACAGGTTCAAACAGCCTTTTTACACAATGCAGAGGATTAACCCCTTAGATTCCACAGTGAGTATAACCAGCACACTTTACTGCATCTACAGACTGATTGTACTGCTGTGGGTTTAGTAACACTAAGTTCCCCCCACCTCACTCCTCCCACGCAGCTTCGATTGGGTTGGAGGAGGAGGATTATTAACCCTGCAGGCTCCGCCCATGCAATACAATCACTGCGGACCGTTCCCATCCCCTTTGCCAGGTCTGGTGAGGATCTGCAGCAGTTTTCTGTCTCTGGCACCATCCCCTTGTTAATGAGGCGCAAAACCTGCACCAGGTTCCATTTAACTCTGAAACAGAAGCTGCGTGTGGTGCAGATAGACAAAAAACAAGTGTCACCCGAAGCACACACCTCTAATGCCAGTTGCCTGTGTCCCCCCCCCCCCCAGGTATGCAGTCCATTATCTGCTCAATGGGTACCTGTTCTTTGTACTGGTCGGCGTGCCGGCGCTCGTCTTCCACCTGCATGAAGACCTCCTTCAGTTTCTTCTCGGTTCTGCGCACCAGTTTGTTAGATGCGGCCCGTTCTCTGGAGGAGGAGATTGGGGGAGGGGAATACTCCATTATTATGAGACGTCCCAATGCACTGTCCTCAGAATATATCTTTTTTTTTTTTTACAGAACCAACCCATTTTATCTTGTTTTGCAGAAAATACCAAACGATTCCTCATCAGAGGGACCTCGCATTGTAATGACAATACGCACTCGGGGCCAATCAGAGGAAGCTGGTTAACCTACAGGTGAGGCGAACTCAAACACAGAGAACTTGCAATCTTCATGCGAACCGGGATTTGGGCCCTGGACCCCCCGGTCTGCACCGCTTCTCTGCCTTTCTTACAAATACTCACTTGGCCTCCTGCTCCAGCTGCTCCTCCAGCTGTCCGATCTTGGCCTCCAGGGTAGCAATAGTGGCTTTAAATTTGGATTTCACAGTCCCCTCCAGTTCCTGAAGTTTGGCTTTCAGCTCCTTGTTTTGGCGCTCCAGTTGCTGTCGTGCGTTTTCGCTTTTTTGGGCTGAACTGCGTTCCCCGGCCAGCTCGGCGTTGAGCGTGTCCACCTGGAATCCAAACCAAAGTCAGTCCATTGATCTGAGCATGACATGTATAGCCAGTCATTTTATGTTCCTGTCAGTAACTCCGGCTAGTCAAGATATACACAGCAGGATCCAGGCCTGGGAACAGCTGATAACGGGGTCCTTGACCTTTAAATTTTAGTAAAAAGGGGATGCATTTTGCTCACCTGAAGAGTGGTTTTTACGGAACCGATCATTGAGAAGTTCCATGTTGCTCTGCTCCTCTTCCAACTCTTCCTCCAGCTGGGAGATCCTGGCTTCCAAACGCCTCTTCTCGTCCAGGAGGGCCGACCTGTTGAAAATATGGCAATCTAGTTCAGCCTTTCTCAACCAGGGTGCCCTAGCACCCCGGGGTGCTTTGAAGTTTCTTTAGGGGTGCCTTGGCAAAATATCCAAAACTTGTATACAAGCCAGCCTTTAATTACACAAAGCCCCAGGTTTTCATTGTGCACCTTCTAGCCTCCAGTGTCCTGACAACCAATGACATTATCAGTTGATAAGGAGGATGTCAGCTGCCTGCACAGCATCCTAGTTTGACCCCCCGTCCCTCCCTATCAGTGCTGGGGTCACATCAGGTCAGTGATAGAGAAAAACTGAGGGAGAGGAGAAACATTGGAATGCTAGTCAGTACCGTTGTGCAAAAATGTATTTCATTTGGAAGAATAAGTAACCTCTAATGGTTGGTGTCCTACATGTGTGGATGTTGCTGCGTTGTATAAAACTATTAGAATAGTTTTTACATTTTAGAATGGGGTGCCTCTGGACTGTCCGTAATTTTAAAGGGCGCCTCGGAACTGTCCATAAATTTAGAGGGCGCCTCGGGACTGTTCATAAATTTAGAGGGCGCCTCGGGACTGTCCATAATTTTAGAGGGCGCCTCGGGACTGTCCATAATTTTAGAGGGCGCCTCGGGACTGTTCATAAATTTAGAGGGCGCCTCGGGACTGTCCATAATTTTAGAGGGCGCCTCGGGACTGTCCATAATTTTAGAGGGCGCCTCGGGACTGTCCATAATTTTAGAGGGCGCCTCGGGACTGTCCATAATTTTTAGAGGGCGCCTCGGGACTGTCCATAATTTTTAGAGGGCGCCTCGGGACTGTCCATAATTTTTAGAGGGCGCCTCGGGACTGTCCATAATTTTTAGAGGGCGCCTCGGGACTGTCCATAATTTTTAGAGGGCGCCTCGGGACTGTCCATAATTTTTAGAGGGCGCCTCGGGACTGTCCATAATTCTAGAGGGCGCCTCGGGACTGTCCATAATTTTTAGAGGGCGCCTCGGGACTGTCCATAATTTTTAGAGGGCGCCTTGGGACTGTCCATAAATTTTAGAGGGCGCCTCGGGACTGTCCATAAATTTTAGAGGGCGCCTCGGGACTGTCCATAAATTTTAGAGGGCGCCTCGGGACTGTCCATAAATTTTAGAGGGCGCCTCGGGACTGTCCATAAATTTTAGAGGGCGCCTCGGGACTGTCCATAATTTTTAGAGGGCGCCTCGGGACTGTCCATAATTTTTAGAGGGCGCCTCGGGACTGTCCATAATTTTTAGAGGGCGCCTCGGGACTGTCCATAAATTTTAGAGGGCGCCTCGGGACTGTCCATAATTTTTAGAGGGCGCCTCGGGACTGTCCATAATTTTTAGAGGGCGCCTCGACTAAAAAAAGGTTGAGAAACACTGTTCTAGGTCTGCATTTTAGACAATGCCGAGGCCTACCAATGAAGCTTCTCTTAACAGGTATCTTTCATGGAGCGATCTCTAGCAACAAATTAAAGGACCCCGCCACTTTACTAGTTCAGGAAAAAAAAAATGACTGTGAAACAGTCCACCAAAATCCCCTGCTTCCTAGGTGGCAACTGTCACAAATACACATAGGGATCTATTTATTAAAAAAAAAGAAAAAAAAAAAGAAAAAAGACAAGTGTCACAAGCGTTTGCCCAGCTGTGATGAATAATAACCATCATTTGACTGATACATTAATTTTCTTTCATCATCAGCTCCACCTAGTGGCCATAATGCTGTATTTTCCTGATTGAGGTATTTCAAGAGAATACTGGTACAACAAGCACTGATGTGAACTAGTACATTGACAGCCATATAACCTACTTTCTGTGCATTTTGAGTACAGTGTTGCATGACCGCGCAATTCAAAGTGCGACAGCGCTGAAAGCTGTAAATTGGCCTGGACAGGAAGGGGGTGAAAGTGCCTGGTAGGGAAGGGGTTAATGGCTTCATAAGAAGGTTTAATAAAGGTTTATTAAATCCCTTCCCACGCTTTAAGCGCTCATAATGCCAGAGGTGTTATATGGGCTTCCTGATTGTGTAATCGTGATTGGCTGTCACAGTGATCATGTGTTCAGGAGCCAAACCTACCAGTTCCTGCAGTTGGCGACGGTGCGGTCACAGTGCTGAGGACATACGATTAAATGTGCTCCCAGCACAGCGACGCCAGCCGATCGCATATATGTGGCAGCACGGCATAAGGCCCACCACCTTGCTGTCACATAGATGCACAGCTGGCTTTAACCGCCTTCCGTCCGCCATATTGTCCAATGACGGGCGCAAGGTGGTTCTCTCGTTGTGGGATGACGTCATATGACGTCCTCCCACTCTCAGTGTGGTGATCGGCGGTGCGCTGTGTCCCTCGGACACAACTGATCACCGATCATGGAAAGAGCCGAAAATGTCGGCTCGATCATGTGATCAGCTGTGTCCAATCACAGCTCATTACATGTAAACAGGGAAATGCCGGTTATCAGCATTTCTCTCCTCTCGAGCTGTCACGCTGACAGAGGAGAGGAGAGGAGAGCCGGTAATCGGCATTCTGCGGAGGGGACATGTACACTGATCATCAGGGCACTAATGATCAGTGTAGCCCCAGCAGTGCCACCTGTCAGTGCCCATCAATGCAAGCAGTAAGTGATCATCAATGCCACCTGCCAGTGCCCATCAGTGCCTCAGCAATGCCACATATCAGTGCCCATCTGAGCTGCCTTTCAGTGTCACCCATCAGTGCCTGTCAGTGCTGCCTATCAGTGCCTGTCAGTGCTGCCTATCAGTGCCTGTCAGTGTTCCCTTTCAGTGCCGCCAAACAGTGCCAGTCAGTGCCGCCAAACAGTGCCAGTCAGTGCCGCCAAACAGTGCCAGTCAGTGCCGCCAAACAGTGCCAGTCAGTGCCGCCAAATAGTCCCAGTCAGTGCCGCCAAACAGTGCCAGTCAGTGCCGCCACACAGTGCCAGTCAGTGCCGCCAAACAGTGCCAGTCAGTGCCGCCAAACAGTGGCAGTCAGTGCCGCCAAACAGTGGCAGTCAGTGCCGCCAAACAGTGGCAGTCAGTGCCGCCAAACAGTGCCGCCAGTCAATGCCGCCTATCAGTGCCATATATGAGTGCTGCCTTTCAGTGCCCAACAGTGATGCCTGTCAATGCCCATCAGTGCCACCTATCAGTGCCCATCACAGCAGCCTCATTAGCGCACATCAGTGAAGGAACAAAATCACTTATTTACAAAATTTTTATAACAAAAACTAAGAAAAAACTTTTTTCCCCAAAATTTTCAGTGGTTTTTGGTTTAAGAAAAAATAAAAAACCCCGAGGTGATTAAATACCACCAAAATAAAGCTCTATCTGTCACAAAAAAAATGATAAAAATGTCATGTGTACAGTGTTACATGACTGCGCAATTGTCATTCAATGTGTGACAGCACTGAGAGTTGGAAATTGGCCTGGGCAGGAAGGGGGTAGAAGTGCCCGGTAGGCAGGAAGGGGGTAGAAGTGCCCGGTGGGGCAGGAAGGGGGTAGAAGTGCCCGGTGGGCAGGAAGGGGGTAGAAGTGCCCTGTAGGCAGGAAGGGGGTAGAAGTGCCCGGTAGGCAGGAAGGGGGTATAAGTGCCCGGTAGGCAGGAAGGGGGTATAAGTGCCCGGTAGGCAGGAAGGGGGTAGAAGTGCCCAGTAGGCAGGAAGGGGGTATAAGTGCCATGTAGGCAGGAAGGGGGTAGAAGTGCCCTGTAGGCAGGAAGGGGGGGTAGAAGTGCCCGGTAGGCAGGAAGGGGGTATAAGTGCCATGTAGGCAGGAAGGGGATAGAAGTGCCCGGTAGGCAGGAAGGGGGTAGAAGTGCCCGGTAGGCAGGAAGGGGGTAGAAGTGCCCGGTAGGCAGGAAGGGGGTAGAAGTGCCCCGTAGGCTGGAAGGGGGTAGAAGTGCCCCGTAGGCTGGAAGGGGGTAGAAGTGCCCCGTAGGCAGGAAGGGGGGTAGAAGTGCCCCGTAGGCTGGAAGGGGGTAGAAGTGCCCGGGAGGCAGGAAGGGGGGTAGAAGTGCCCCGTAGGCTGGAAGGGGGTAGAAGTGCCCCGTAGGCTGGAAGGGGGTAGAAGTGCCCCGTAGGCTGGAAGGGGGTAGAAGTGCCCCGTAGGCTGGAAGGGGGTAGAAGTGCCCCGTAGGCAGGAAGGGGGTAGAAGTGCCCCGTAGGCAGGAAGGGGGTAGAAGTGCCCCGTAGGCAGGAAGGGGGTAGAAGTGCCCTGTAGGCTAGGGGTTAAAGCGGAACTGCGCGTCATCTGAGCACCACAAACCAAAAATGCTATTTAATTCATTGTTAACCCCTCAGCTCTAACACCTCCCAGCCCTTTAAGGGTTTAAGAAGCAGGGGGTGGGGTTTAGGGTCATGTGACCGCCATGACGGCGGTCACATGATCAGGAAAGGTCTTGATTGAAAGAGGAGATCGGGACCTTTTCATGAGTACCGGACATGTGTGCTGGGAGCATGCAGGGAACGCACTCTCAGCACGTTTTTTTTTTTTTAATAGGCGGTAAATGTGCGGCCGCTCAGCGTCTAGGCCCAGACGCCGGGAGTCCGCACATTTGCATTCGGCCGGCGCCAAGAGGTTAATATTCAAAGCAAACTCCACCATCCATCCGCGTCTGCATTTTGCTAAGAAATCATATCGGAAAACACCCCCTGGCATTTCTGGCAGTGGCCATCTTCATTAAGGGCAGATGATTCATGTAGCATTTACTTCCTGGAATCCATCTGCCCTTAGCTCAGGCATTGGCTGAGCTGAGAACCCTTCCCTCCCAAAGACTGCTGGGATGTATGGCATCATTTGCCTAGGCATGGAAATCAGGACGTAACTGAAGAAATGTTTTAAAAAAAAAAGTTTAAACAAGTAAATATAATATACTTTCCTATCTATGTACTAAGGCTGGCGGCTTAAGGATTACAAATATTCAATGTTGATTGAGAGAGTGACGTTCCACTTGGAGTTACTTTTTAAAGCACCACTCACTTTCCTGAAGTGCTGTTTGAGATCTCATCAGCGAGCTCGTCTCTCTCCTGCTCGGCGTGGCGGCGGGCGCGCTCAGAAGCTGCCAGATCCTACGGGGGTAAAGTAAACGAGTCACTGAAAGCCAATGAACATAGAGCACAAGTGCAGCAGAGACAGCGTTGTCAGCTCGCTAGAGGAAGTTAAGAGATCACTAGATGGCAAATATGTACTGATAAATGTTTTTTTTATTTTACATTTTGTGCAGACAGGCACGTCAGTGGTAAGGCCTTGCTGAACGTGTATTAAAGTGGTTGTAAACCTCAGTCATGAAATAATATGAACAAAGCATCTACTTCTATACAAGGTATTTGTCTCAATCAAGATCACTAAGTCTGTCTGCTGCTTTGTTCCCCTGCTATAAGCATGAGTCACTTCTGAAACATTCTCCTGACACCAAGAGATAAACGGTGACAGGAGGGCACTCCAGCACACAGCCTGTGATTGACAGCCTCAGCTCTGTTCCTGTGTACTGGGGGGGGGGGGGGGTATGTGTCTCTTCCTTCCAATCAGCTTTCAGAGCTCTCCTCACTGAGCTCTGCCGAGTGTAACTTCAGCTTTCTGCCCCCTTTTCAGACAAAGGTACACATTCTGGACTTTGAACAGAGAGAATACTGCAGATAAACAGGTACAACTTATGTAGGAGGATTTGTTTTTCCATCTCTGTGCATCACCTGAGGCCAGTCACTTGCCGCCCTATAGCAGATATACTGCTACAGGGCGGCAGGGGTGAGCAAAATCACGTGTATATATATATATATATATATATACATGATTTTGCATTTCCGCGCTGCCATTCTCAGCCGCAGCTGTCAATCACCGAGTCCTGGCCAGTAATTGACCACCGGTGCCCGGTGATTACCGAGCATCTCTGATGGGGAGGAGGACTGTTCTGTTTACTAACAGTCTTCCTCCCTGTCAGATCGGGCACACGGAGTCTGTCAGTTCGGGCACACTGCTCTAGATGGCTGTGCACAGCACAGCCATCCAGAGCAGTGTGTTTACAGTCAAGCACCAACACACCACCCCCTAGTAAAACACTCCCTGCACACAGTTAACCCTTTGATCACCCCTCACCACCCCTTCCTGCTCAGTGTCATTAGTAGAGTGTCAGTGCTGATCACTGTATTGGTGTCACTGGGGATGTCAGTGACACCAAGCCAGTTCCCCCCCAGTGTCAGAATGTCCGCCGCAGTCCCGCTAAAAGTCGCTGATCGTCGCCATTACTAGTAGAAAAAAAAAAATCCCATTATCTATACCGCCATTTGTAAACACTCTAACTTTCACGTAAACCAATTTACACATACTGGGATTATTTTTTAGCAAAGACATGTCGCAGAATACATTTATGATGAAATTTTATTTTTTTTTAAATTTTTTTACTGGACATATTTATAGCAAAAAGTCCAAAATAATGTGTTTTTCTCAAAATTTACGCTTTTTTTTTTTTAGTGCAAAAAAAAAAAAAAAAAAAAATAAACACAGGTGATCAAATACCAGCGAAAGAAAGCTCAATTCGTGGGGAAAAAAAAGGATGTAAATTTAATTTGGGTGCAGCATTGCATGACCGTGCAATTGTCAGTTAAAGTAATGCAGCGCCGTAACACAATAAAATGGCCTGGTCAGGAAGGGGGGGGGGGGTAATCCTCACTTTAAAATGCTGGTTTGTTAAAGCGGAGTTCCACCTAAAAAAAAATAAAACGTCATCAGATACAAAAACTGTAGCTGCTGACTTTTAAAAATACAGCCACTTACCTGTCCCTCGGCCCAGCGGTGTCCTCACCACGGCTGGTTTCACCGGCTGTCTTCCCTCCCTGGTGCTGGCATCTTTAGTGTGGGCACCTGGTTATGACAGCTTGCGGCTTCACAGCCAGGTGCCCACTGAGCATGTGCGAGAAGCATTGCGTTTTGTGAATGGCCCCGTAGTCTTCTGGGATCTGTCACATGTCCCAGAAGACTACAGGGAGGGAGGACACCTTTTGTTTATAATTGCCTAGGCGGTCCGACTGCAATTGGGAGCTGGTACCTGTCAAATCCGGGTACCTGCTCCCTCCCCCTGCCCGGGGGGTGGGGGGGTGGTGTTGGTGGGGGGACAACTTCCGCTTCCAATTGCCTAGGCAATCGCAGTGGAAGTGGGTACCTGTCAAATTTGGGTACCCGCTCCCCAAAGGTGCCAATCCTTGTCGGGGAGTGGGGAACAAAGGCTTAAAGCGGAACTTCCCCTTTTGGGTGGAGCTCCGCTTTAAGCCAACTGCATACTGTAATACACATTACCTCCTGAAGCTGAAGAATTTCGGCTTCCAGGTTCTTCAGCTTCTTCTCATTCTCTTTAGACTGAGCGAAGATGTCATCTCGGGATGCCCTGGCATCTTCAAGCTCCCGCTGGTAGTCCTTCATTTGTGCCTGGTGAGAGAAAGTTAATAAAAATGTGGAATATCATAGGAAGGCCGATGGTGGACATCAGCGTTCCACATTCTGAAGATTGTCCACAGTATTCCAAGCTACCTGCAGCTTGCGCAGTTGTTTGATGGCGTCTTCGCGTCCCTTATTGGCTGCCTCAATTTGAGACTCCAGATCCTTCAAATCCATTTCCAGTTTCTTCTTGGAAGCTACAGCCTGAGCTCGCTGTTTGCGTTCGTCCTCCAGCTCTGCCTCGAGCTCCCGCACCTTGGAAAGATAAAAAAATATAAACTCGGAATCCTAATTACAACGGCAGACTTTGACGGTATGAAGTTCAGAAAGGCAGCTTCCTGCATTGAACTCCCCAGCTGGATGGGGTTTCCTACCTGCTTGACCAACATGCGTTTCTTCTCTTCGTTCTGTTCATCCCGTGCCTGCAAGTCTCGCTCAAACTGCGCCTTCATGGCCTGCATGTTGACTTCCAGACGCAGCTTAGCATCTTCTGTGCCTTGAAGCTCATCTTCCAGTTCTTCCAGCTGAGTTCTCATCTCTTCCACCTGCTGCTCGAGAGCCCGCTTAGATTTCTCCAACTCGTGAACCTGGAAAAAGACGTCAAGAATCAAATGTACTGAAAGGCCAAAGCAGAGCAACAGTACAAAGAAATAATAGCGAGGGAAGCAATCCTTCAACAGGACCATCTCACACACCTACAACAGGACCATCTCACAAAGCTACAACCAACAGGACCATCTCACACACCTACAACCAACAGGACCATTTCACAAAGCTACAACCAACAGGATCATCTCACACACCTACAACCAACAGGACCATCTCACAAAGCTACAACCAACAGGACCATCTCACACACCTACAATCTACAGGACCATCTCACACACCTACAATCTACAGGACCATCTCACACACCTACAACCAACAGGACCATCTCACACACCTACAATAAGCCGGACCATCTCACACACCTACAATAAGCTGGACCATCTCACACATCTACAATCAACAGGATCATCTCACACACCTACAATAAGCCGGACCATCTCACACACCTACAATAAGCCGGACCATCTCACACACCTACAATAAGCCGGACCATCTCACACACCTACAATAAGCCGGACCATCTCACACATCTACAATCAACAGGATCATCTCACACACCTACAACCAACAGGATCATCTCACACACCTACAACCAACAGGATCATCTCACACAACTACAACCAACAGGACCATCTCACACACCTACAACCAACAGGATCATCTCACACAACTACAACCAACAGGACCATCTCACACAACTACAACAGGACCATCTCACACAACTACAACAGGACCATCTCACACAACTACAACCAACAGGACCAACTCACACAACTACAATCTACAAGTCTCAAAAGTATTACATAAAAATCAAATGTTTACATTTTTTACTTCTTAAAAAGGAACTCCAGCTACCCCCACCCTTCCTTTAAAGTGGTTGAAAACCTCAGACATGAAGTATGAACAAAGCATATCCATTTATAGTGTGCTCTTGTCTCAGTCCAGAGTACTAAGTGTAATTTCTGTCTGCTGCTTCGTTCCTCTGCTATCAGCGTGAATCACTTCTGACAAGTTTTCCTGACACCAAAAGAAAAATGGTGACAGGGTAGGAACCTCCAGCAAATTGACAGGTTTAGCTCTGTTCCTGTAAGCTGTGTGGAGGGGGGTGTGGCTCTTGCCTCCAAATCAGCTCTTCTCACTGAGCTCTGCAGTGTGTGATTTCAGATATCCACCCCTTTATTACTGAACACTCAGACAAGCTTTAGACATTCAGCACTTCCGATATGGAAGAAAAATATATTTGAAATACTACAATTTTGGCCATTATATATATATATATATACATACATACACACACTTACACACTGCATGTTAAAATGTGTTTTTATTACAAAATATATGAAAAGTATTTTTAAAAATACATTTCAAATATACTGTATGTCTTTAAAAATACAAATCTACATTTTTGGAATGCACTTACAAATATATGTAAACATAAGTTAAAATGACTTTTTTTTTATATGTTAAAAAAATATATTTTTTGAAAATATATTCTTCAAATTTTTTTAACATATATTTGTAAATGCATTCCAAAAATGTAGATTTGCATTTTTAAAGACATACAGTATATATGAAATGTATGTTTAAAAATCTTTTGATATAAAAACGCATTTCAACATGAAATGTATGTGTGTGTGTGTGTATGTATGTATATATATATATATATATATATATATATATATATACACACACACACACACATATATATATATATATATATATATATATATATATATATATATACACACACACACATATACCCCCACCCTTCCTTTAAAGTGGTTGAAAACCTCAGACATGAAGTTTGAACATAGCATATCCATTTATAGTGTGCACTTGTCTCTATATATATATATATATATATATATATATATATATATATATATATATATATACATACATACACACACACACATACATATATATATATATATATATATATACACATACATACATACACACACACATATATATACATATACACACACATTATTGAAATATATTGAATATGGCCAAAATTGTAGTATTTCAAATATATGCCAATATATTCGGGAAGAATATTTTAAAAATATATTTCAAATATATTTTTCTTCCATGTGGGTTTGAATGGATGTAGAGAAGAAAATGCTACAGGTAAACAGGTACAACTTAGGTAGGAGGATTGTTTTCAGCTTTGTGTATCACCTGAGGCTGGTCACTCCATGTAAGGGTTTACAACCACTTTAAGCCCGCTTGGTCTACATTTTTTTTGTTCATGAAAACCCGATATCACTTCTCCGCTGCAGTCTTTAGGCTGTGGTGGTGTAATGGGTCCTTCCTCAGCAGTGGTGGTTGGGGCTGTTGTTCGGCCTGGACTGAATGATGAGCACCAAACAGTCTAGGTGTACGCTCAAGCTGTGTAATGTTGTATTTTTAGGGTGAAGGTCTAGGATGGTCGGGGCTCACAGGAAGTAAGTTTGGTGACGCTGACTTTCATTTAGACCAAATGGTAAAGCCAGAAGAAGCAAGTCGGCTCTAGTGGGGAAGCACTAGACAGAAAGCAGCTGCTGGGCAATAAAACATGAAATTCCACTTTAGGACAAAATTGGCCCTCCTGATCTTGCCTGCATAGCTTCATTAAATCAGATGTACAAGCAATAAGGCCCAAACCCAGCCAACACTTTTGTTTTTTTTTTAGTTTTGGCAGAGCTTTTATTGCAGCTTTGGCTGGAGTTTGACCATAAGAAATGAGACCTTATAAGGGTGTAAAATAATGGTAAGTCAGTCTTTCTCAAATCTTTTAGCACGGAGGAACGTGTGAAATACCTTTCTCATGGAACCTCTGCTAATAATTCCTATATCTATAGCCCATGGTACATTAATATGTCAGTAGGAGGTCACTGGGAGGAATATCCCCTTTAAAGATCACTAAAAAGATTGTTGTTGTCAGTGGTTACCGATCTGAGAGACATTGTTCAAGGACCCCTTAGCAACCTCTGGAGAAATTCTAAGGTTTCATAGAACTCTGGTTAAGGAAGGCTGTCGCAATGCTTGCCAAATATAACCACAGTGGCCTTTACTAAAATATTAATTAATGTGCACAGATCTCCTTTATGGTAACTTACGTTCTTCCCAACGTCATCTTTGGAGCTCATCAGATCTTCCATCTCTGCTCTCAGCTGCTTGTTCAGTCTCTCAAATTCATCACGAGCCTCTAGCGCCTCCTCCAGGGCTCTGGCTAGTGACAAAGCTTTGGTCTCCTTCTCCCGTGCGTCTGCCTCGGCCCGATCGCGTTCCTCGGCGCATCGGGCTGAGATGGTCTTTTCTTCAGCAAGAAGCTGGTGGGAGAGAGAGATGGAATTCATGCCATGTTTCAAGAAAGGAAACCCCTTATATACATCTCTCCTGAGGTACTGGATATCATCTAGTAAAGGAAGGGACAAAGTCAACTGACCTGGTCAAACTTCTTCTGTTGGAAGGGACAAAGTCAACTGACCTGGTCAAACTTTTTCTGTTGGAAGGGACAAAGTCAACTGACCTGGTCAAACGTCTTCTGTTGGAACGGACAAAGTCAACTGACCTCGTCAAACTTCTTCTGTTGGAAGGGACAAAGTCAACTGACCTGGTCAAACTTCTTCTGTTGGAAGGGACAAAGTCAACTGACCTGGTCAAACGTCTTCTGTTGGAACGGACAAAGTCAACTGACCTGGTCAAACTTCTTCTGTTGGAAGGGACAAAGTCAACTGACCTGGTCAAACTTCTTCTGTTGGAAGAGACAAAGTCAACTGACCTGGTCAAACGTCTTCTGTTGGAAGGGACAAAGTCAACTGACCTGGTCAAACTTCTTCTGTTGGAAGGGACAAAGTCAACTGACCTGGTCAAACTTTTTCTGTTGGAAGGGACAAAGTCAACTGACCTGGTCAAACGTCTTCTGTTGGAAGGGACAAAGTCAACTGACCTGGTCAAACGTCTTCTGTTGGAAGGGACAAAGTCAACTGACCTGGTCAAACTTCTTCTGTTGGAAGGGACAAAGTCAACTGACCTGGTCAAACTTCTTCTGTTGGAAGGGACAAAGTCAACTGACCTGGTCAAACTTTTTCTGTTGGAAGGGACAAAGTCAACTGACCTGGTCAAACGTCTTCTGTTGGAAGGGACAAAGTCAACTGACCTCGTCAAACTTCTTCTGTTGGAAGGGACAAAGTCAACTGACCTGGTCAAACTTCTTCTGTTGGAAGGGACAAAGTCAACTGACCTGGTCAAACTTTTCTGTTGGAAGGGACAAAGTCAACTGACCTGGTCAAACGTCTTCTGTTGGAAGGGACAAAGTCAACTGACCTGGTCAAACGTCTTCTGTTGGAAGGGACAAAGTCAACTGACCTGGTCAAACGTCTTCTGTTGGAAGGGACAAAGTCAACTGACCTCGTCAAACTTCTTCTGTTGGAAGGGACAAAGTCAACTGACCTGGTCAAACTTCTTCTGTTGGAAGGGACAAAGTCAACTGACCTGGTCAAACTTTTTCTGTTGGAAGGGACAAAGTCAACTGACCTGGTCAAACGTCTTCTGTTGGAAGGGACAAAGTCAACTGACCTGGTCAAACGTCTTCTGTTGGAAGGGACAAAGTCAACTGACCTGGTCAAACGTCTTCTGTTGGAAGGGACAAAGTCAACTGACCTCGTCAAACTTCTTCTGTTGGAAGGGACAAAGTCAACTGACCTGGTCAAACTTCTTCTGTTGGAAGGGACAAAGTCAACTGACCTGGTCAAACGTCTTCTGTTGGAACGGACAAAGTCAACTGACCTGGTCAAACTTCTTCTGTTGGAAGGGACAAAGTCAACTGACCTGGTCAAACGTCTTCTGTTGGAAGGGACAAAGTCAACTGACCTGGTCAAACGTCTTCTGTTGGAAGGGACAAAGTCAACTGACCTGGTCAAACGTCTTCTGTTGGAAGGGACAAAGTCAACTGACCTGGTCAAACTTCTTCTGTTGGAAGGGACAAAGTCAACTGACCTGGTCAAACTTCTTCTGTTGGAAGGGACAAAGTCAACTGACCTCGTCAAACTTCTTCTGTTGGAAGGGACAAAGTCAACTGACCTGGTCAAACTTCTTCTGTTGGAAGGGACAAAGTCAACTGACCTGGTCAAACGTCTTCTGTTGGAACGGACAAAGTCAACTGACCTGGTCAAACTTCTTCTGTTGGAAGGGACAAAGTCAACTGACCTGGTCAAACGTCTTCTGTTGGAAGGGACAAAGTCAACTGACCTGGTCAAACGTCTTCTGTTGGAAGGGACAAAGTCAACTGACCTGGTCAAACTTCTTCTGTTGGAAGGGACAAAGTCAACTGACCTGGTCAAACTTCTTCTGTTGGAAGGGACAAAGTCAACTGACCTGGTCAAACTTTTTCTGTTGGAAGGGACAAAGTCAACTGACCTGGTCAAACGTCTTCTGTTGGAAGGGACAAAGTCAACTGACCTGGTCAAACTTCTTCTGTTGGAAGGGACAAAGTCAACTAACCTGGTCAAACTTCTTCTGCTTCTTCTCCAGGTTGGACACAATCTGCCTCTGGTGATCCAGGTCCACCATCAAGTCATCCAGCTCTTGCTGAAGTCTGTTTTTGGTCTTCTCCAGCTTCTCATAAGCCAAGCCCTTTTCCTCCAAGCGCTGTCCCATTAGCTCCATGTCCTTTGAGAGCTTCTTTTTCACTTCTTCTAACCCTTCAATGGTGCCAACATCATCTTCCAGCTTCTTCTTCGAGTCTACAAGCTGGTTCAAAAATTTGTCAGCTGATGTTATATAATCAAGCAAAAGGCAACAAACTGAATTTTGATTGGTTATGACAAGTTACAGGTAGGACATGTTCTTCACTATGCAGCCCTTTAGAACATATAATATTCCAACAGGAATGGTACCTGTGCCTGGAGGTTGATGATTTGCTTCTCCAGGGCCTTGCGGGCCTCCTCCTCTTCCTCCTGCTGCTCCAGCAGGTTGCTTTTCTCCTCCTCTAGCTGTCGGATACGACTGCTAAGGTTCAGCTTCTGCCGAGTTTCTTCCTGGAGCAGTTCCTGTCAAAGGGATAAACCATACATTAGGGATTTTGTGTCTTTTGTGTGAAATGCATTAAGCCAGATTGAACCCAGTCCACCCAAAAGTTATAGTTCAGATAAAGGTGGTGTCTGCTCAGCTGAAAGGCTGCAGAAGGAAAATGGAGGGCATCAGTCCTTGTATATGCTGCCCCTCCTATCCAGGTGTACAGGGAAGCTGCACGGGCCCCCTGCAGCATGGGTCCAATTCGCAATTACGACTACTATACGTACTCCCCCGGTTTTAAGATCTTGACCTCAAAAACCACAATAGCCAACCACTAACAGTACGTGAGTCACACCGAACAGACCTGAGTGTCCTGCAGCTGGGACTCCAGGCCAGCGACGTCCTTGACCAATTTAATCCCTTTTTTTTCAGCTTCCTCTAACAAGGTTGACACATTGTCCAGTTCATTCTGTAATGATAAACAATAAATCATTATGTATCAAGACCATATCACAACCTTTCAGCATAAAACCTGCTAAGCAGAGGCTGACCAACAACAAATTTGCCTTTCACTTAGGTGTCATGCCAACAATTTTTTTACGTAGAGACAAAATCCATTTGCGACAAATTATTATACATTATTATTATACAGTATTTATAAAGCGCCAATAGTTCGCTCAGCGCTGTACATTACAAAGGGGGACAGAACATGTGACAGAACAATACCAATACAATGCAAAACATGAGGGGATTGAGGGCCCTGCTCCTTGGAGCTTACAATCTAGGAGGGGGGGATGGTGGCACAGGAGGAGATAGCTGTGGGGGATGGAGTGGTAGAAAGAGTGGAGGAGGTCGGCAAGTTAGCAGGGGGTGGGGTAGGCTTCCCTGAAGAGATGGGTTTTCAGGGTACGCCTAAAGGAGAGGAGAGTAGGTGATAATCTGATGGGTTGGGACAGGGAGTTCCAGAGGATGGGTGACACCCTGGAGAAGTCCTGGAGGCGGGCATGGGAGGAGGAGACCAGGGAACTAGAGAGAAGGAGGTCTTGTGAGGAGCGGAGTGTGCGTGCTCAGCGGTACTTGGATATTAGGTCAGTGATGTAGTTCGGGGCAGTATGGTGGACAAATAAAGTAAACTTCAAAAACTGGCAGGAAAGTTTTGGATAATATACAGTAATGGATCGTTTTACAATCTCCATGTGACAGAAGGCTTCATGGGTCGGACAAAGTACCTGAAGTTTGCTGGTCTTTTCTGCCAGCTCAGCACGCAGCCTGTCCCCTTCTGACACCTTGGCGTGAAACTCCTGAACCTGACCCTCCAGTTTCTTCCTCTTGTACTCCGACTCTGACTTTTGCTGCTGAAGAACCTTCACCTCACCGACCAGCTCCTTGTTCTCAGACTCCAGGCTCTGCTTGTTCTTCTCCAGGTTCACTTTGAGCTGTGCGGGACACAGGGAAATTAAAACGTCGAAATAATTTCATTTTCAATGAACCCAAAGAAGATTCTCATTAGGATCAAAGAGGAACTTCCCCTACTGCTGACTTGATGTATGAAGTAAATTGCTGGTCTATGGAAATATTCACTTTTAACCTTAACCACTTGACTACTGGAAAGTTTTTACCACTTTCAGCACTGCACTACTTTACCTGGAAATTGCTTGGTGTTGCAACACCGTACCCAACCAAAAGTTATTTCCTTTTATGCACACAAATAAAGATTTCTTTTGGTGGTATTTTGATCCCCACAGGGTTTTTTTATTATATAAACAAAAAAATACAGAAAATGTTTTGGGAAAAAAAATATTTTCTACTTTCTGTTATAAAACATATCCAATAAAATCAAACATTTTCATAAAAATTTAGGCCAAAATGTATTCTGCTACATGTCTGGTAAAAAGCAAACTCCTTTTTTGGGGACACTATACTAGTGTGGACACTAGTAAGGTTCTGATTGTGATCAAGATACTGATCCATACAGACACTATATTAGTAATGACGGTGATCAGCGACTTATAGTGTGACTGATAGTGTGGCGGGCAACCTGGTCCTAACTGACACGGACCACTATTTTAGGGTCTCGGCTCTCAGAAAATATATGTTTGGGGGTTTTATGTAATCTTCAGGCCTAAGATGATTGTTTAAACATGTGCATGTTCCTAACTGACACGGACGTTGCTAGTGACTGTAATACAGTGAACAGTGATAATACAGTACACCAAGGGTGCTCAACCCTTTGAAGAACGAGGGCCATTTAAATGATTTTGTAACCGGTTGTGGGCCACAATGAAAGGAAATGGTTCAGAATTTAGATTTTTTTTTTTTGATTTTGAATAGCATAATGAACATTTCCCCCCTGAAGCTGCTGAGTGCCAGCAGGAGAGAGAGGAGGAGAAGCCCAGTTTCAGCAATTGCAGGAGAAAAATGGAGGATCGGTTCCTGCATATGCCACCCCTCCTGTCTAAGTGTAAAACAGAACTTAACAGGGAGTCCGCATGGGCCCCATGGAGCATGGGGCAGGGTCGCCATTGAGACCCCTGACATTACACCAGTGGTGGTAAGGGGGAGCGAACCCTGACTGTCCTGAGCACCTTCAGGGATGTTGAATTCATATCACCCGATGCCCGGGACATGTAGTTCTGGGAGCTGAGCAGGTCATTTTTTTTTTACCTTTAGCCCTGCTGTGGACAAGCAGCACGGCTCATCTGTCATTTGGGCAGCAGAGCTGCTGCCGATTGCTTCCACACAGAGCCAGCCTCCGCTCCCTTCCCCTCCCTTCCCCTTCTTGTCCTGACCCAGAAGTGACGTTATGATGTCACTTCCAGGTCCCCGTTGAGAGATTCCCGGCCACGGAGGCTGGGAAAGAATGTAATGTGGTGCGATGTGCACTGCATTACATTCAGTGGAGCACAGGGGGAGACAGGCAGGGTCCCTAAAGAGAACCTGTCACCAAAAATTATCACATGTAAAAAAAAATGAAAGTTACACCCAAGTACATAACACCCCCCCCCCCCCCAAAAAAAAAAAAATAAAAGCCCTCCTACCCCCACATATACACACGTACAAATGTAAAAGCACATGCTGGAGCGCCTACGCATGAAAACGATTGTGATACCCAAGTCACATATCACCGTGCACCCAGGATGAGAGCAATAATTCTAGCACCAGACCTCCTCCAGAACACTGTACCGATGACTTATAAGGGGCTTTATAAGTGTCAACCTATAGAAAACATAGGGTACTGAAGTTCGTTGCCATTTCACGATCGCTCACAAATTTAAGGTTTGACAAGTCGGATATCTATTTACTCGGTTCAATCTAATCTTTTATATTTTACAAAAAATTGGGTAATTTATAGCTTTTTTTGGGCCCTAAAATTAACTTACTTGTATTTTTAACTGACATTTTGTAATAACATGTGACATACAAAATTGGAACTACCACTATTTTAGGGTCTCGGCTCTCAGAAAATATATGTTTGGGGGTTTTATGTAATCTTCAGGCCTAAGATGATTGTTTAAACGTGTGCAAAAAAACCCCCGCAAAAACTGCTCTGGCAGCGAAAGGGTTAAAGGATAAGCCGGACACTCCCCTTTTCTGAGGAGCAGCCAATCAGTGCTCATTACACTACAAGGTCTCTTCCCTCCCTGCTAGACCCCGGGTGCGGTGCTGGAGACAGGCGGGGGGAGGGAGGAGGAGATAAACAGCGAAATGTTAAAAATATTACATGTTTAAGTTGCCATAGAGCCCCTTTGTTTTTAAAAGCCCCCGACATTCCTAAAATCATCTCTGATTTAAATATGGTTTTGGTTAAATAAAATTTTTTTATTATTAATCAGGACAAGAAATTTGTCATGAGGGACAAGTAGATTGGGACCCCGATTTAGTCCCTGGACAAGTAGTTTTTGAAAAAAAATTCCCACACCCCTGCCCCTTATAAGGCTGGTTTCACAAAGATGCGCCGTGGTTTACCTGCATCCTGGGTGAGGCTTCCCTGCGTTTTGCCATAGACGTCTATTATATCTTGCGGGTGTGGTGCACTTTCTGAAAGTGAACCAAAACTACTGCATCCAGTTTGAGGTAAAGGGCCACATCAGAGAGCTCCGAGGGCCACCCCTCTACGCTGTACTAAAGACACTGGGTGGGTGACAGGATTGATCAGAACAGCAATCAAAGGATTAACTGTGTGCCTAACAAGTGTATGCAAGTGTTTGTATGCTGCTTTTACTTACAGATCTGGCGTGAGCCTCTCCTTGTTTTCAGTTCTGAACGATAACTGAAAGCAGGGAGAAATCTGGCGAGAATCTGTGCTGCTGTGCTAACAAAACACACAGATCTCTGTGCTTTGATTGGCCACAGCCGATCAGCAGGTACACAGTCAAAATGACTGGCTGTAACCTGCTGACAAATTTGTGCTGTGTCCAATCACAGCACAGATCTGCATGCCCCTAAACCAGGAAGCTCACATGTAGGTGCCTGGGAGAGCCGACTGCCATTTGACAAGCGGTTAAGGAACCCTTCACAGGCCCTTCTAGGTCCAGGCCTCTTACCCTCTTGGCCTGCTCCAGCTGTTCGGACAACTCCTCCAGGGCGGTGGCTTGACGTTGCCTCATTTCCTGTATCTGGGCCTCATGGTTTTTGGTTTCCTCCTCAATGCTCTTCTTCAGCTCAGCCACTTCCTGCTCACGTTTGGTCCTTGAAGAAGAAAGAAATGGGAGTGTTAACTTGAGTTAGAAGAAAGAGGCCAGAAACAGGAGACAAACCCAAGATGGACATTGCCTTCATTCTGATACCTCAGCTCCTGCTGGGCAGCTGTGGTGTCCAGAGTGTCCTCCAGCTCTGTCTTCAGTGCCTCCAGCTCCTCGCTCAGGTCCCTCTTCTGCTTCTCTGCTTTGTTACGGGAAGCCTTCTCGGACTCCAGGTCTTCTTGTAACTCGGCAATCTGGGCCTGTAGCTCTCGCACCAGCTTCAGAGCATTGTTCTTCTGTACCACCTCCTCATCTCCCCTATCATGGGAACACAGAAGGTCAAAGAGTGAACAGGTTAAGAAGGTTAAAATAGAAGGGTTTCATGTAAACCACTGAATTTTACAATTTTTTTTTTTTTTTTCAATTAACACCTTTTTGTCCGGCCTATAGCAGATTGACGGTCGGGCGGGACACATGCCAATGTGACTGGGCGTCATATGACGTCCTGTCAAGACGAGCCGCTCACACGGCTGCGCAGTGGTGTGATCTGTCCCCGGCTGTGTCCACGGGACACAGCCGATGACATATCACTACACTGGCCCATCGCCAGTGTCATGTGAGTGCTGTGACCAATCACAGCAGATCACATGTCAAGTGTATACAATGGATGGCTTCCTGTCATGCCATATATTGTATACAATTGTGTTGTTAGCTTTGACTGGTCAAGGCAGTCACATGATACAGACAGGACCAATCACAGCCAATCTGTATCATGTGATCAGCTTTGCCCAATCACAGCTAATCAGAACAAAAGACTGAATGAATCAGTTTCATTCAGTAGCAATGATTGCAAATATCAATGAAATATATTGGTATTAGCAATCATAATGTGAAAAAAAAAAATCCCGATCACTTGCCCAGAGTAGTTCAATGTTACTATGGTTGTATTGCTTTGGTCACAGTGTGCTGAAAAATAAAATAGTAAAAAAAAAAAAAAAAATGTAATACAAAATAAACAAAAATAATAGAAACATTTGCAAAAAAAAAAAATACAAATTCAATTATTCTCACCAAAGAAATGTAGCAGAATACATTTTGACCTAAATTTATGAAGAAATGTTATTTATTTGCACAATTTTATAACAGAAACAAAGGAAAGTGCATTTTGTTCCAAAAGTTTCAGGTGTTTTTTGTTTTATTTAGCAAAAAATAAAAACTCAGAGGTGATTAAATACCTCCAAAAGAAAGCTCTATTTGTGTGAAAAAAAATGATAAAAATATCATATGGGTACAGTGTTGCATGACCACGCAATTGGCATTCAAAGTGCAACAGTGCTGAAAGCTGAAAATTAGCCTGGGCAGGAGGGGGGTATAAGTGCCCGGTATTGAAGGGGTTAAACACTTCAGAAGGTTTTACCCCCCTTCATGACCAGGGCATTTTTTTTTGCAATGCGCTACTTTAATTGGTAATTGCTCGTTAATGCAACACTGTACCCAAATGAGATTTATATCACATAAACAGAGCTTTCTTTTGGTGGTATTTCATCACTACTGGGTTTTTAAAATTTTGTTATTCTATAAACAAAAAAAGACCGAAAATTTAAAAAAAAAAAAAAAAAAAAAAAAAAAATTTCTACCTTCTGTAAAACATCCAATTAAAAAAAAATTAAAAAAATAATACAAATTTCTCCACAAATTTAGACCAAAATGTATTCTGCTACATGTCTTTAATTTAAAAAAAATCCCAAATAAGTGTATATAAATTGGTTTCTTTGAAAGTTATAGCATCTAAAAACTATGGCATATATACTAGAATTTATGCTGCTAGAAAACTATACTGGTAATGGTGGTGATCAGGGACATATAGTGGGACTGGGAGTGTGGAAGGCAATCTGGCGCTAACAGACCCTCGCTTGGAGGTATAATAACCGACACTAATACAGTGATCAGATATAATACTGTACACTATCACTGTACTAATGACACTGACTGGGAAGGGGTTAACATCAAGGGGCATCAACTACACACAATGGTTTCAGAAAAAAAAAATTATGCTCTGTACATGAACCCTTTTTTTTGCTCAGGTTGGTTCTCAGGAGATGAAGGAACGTTATTTGATAAGGGTGACATCCCTAGGAATGATATGAATGTTGTCTGCTACTGGTCCAGACCTTCACATGGAGCCTCCCCTCCAATCACCTAGCTAAAGCAGCTTGCAGCTCCTCCTCTTTTTTGGCCAACTGTAACTTCAGTTCTTCGATCTGAGCCTGCAGCTCAGCGATTTGGTCTGCGAGGTCAGAGGTCTCCCCATCCAGCTTCCTCTTCGCCTTCTCCAACTCCTGCCGTGTCTTCTCCTCCTTTTTTAATCTTTCTGAAAGTCAGAAAAAATACAACGGGGCAAATGGTCAGATAGCACACAAAATTTTAAACCAGACACAACAAAAATGGCTGAGAGTTTGGAAAATGAATCATTTTAAAACAGGTCACGTTGTACCTTCAAGGTCAGTGATCATCATCTCCTGCTTGTTTTTGAGCTTGGCCAAGTTTTTGGCTTTCTCCTCTTCCTCCGCTAGCTGTGCAGTGCACTCTGCTATCCTCTCCTCCGTCAGTTTCTTCTCCTGAGAGGAAGAAAATGGAGAAAAACCATGGAGGTGTTTAAGCAACATCTTTTTTTATTATATATATAGGACTCTACCTAGGAGTTCTTGCCTTCTACATGCAATAGAATGTTAAGTGCTGAATATTTTTCTAGAAGAAATTAAGATGTGTAGACTTTCCACCATACAAGATCTTGCATTTGGCTCATGTTGCCTTTTTTGCCTGGATCCCAGGCATTCCAACTAAATGAATGGATTAAGAAGCCCTAAAGCACGGATGTCAAACTGGCGGCCCTCCAGCTGTTGCCAAACTACAAGTCCCATGAGGCATTGCAAGATTGGCAGTTACCAGCATCATTTCCAAAGGCAGAGGCATGATGGGACTTGTAGTTTCGCAACAGCTGGAGGGCCGCCAGTTTGACACCTAGGATGATGAAAGGAGGGCGGACATTTCAGCAAGACAATGATCCCAAAAACAAAGCCAAGGAAACTCTCAATTGGTTTCAAAGAAAGAAAGAAAATAAAGCTGCTAGAATGGCCCAGCCAATCACCTGACTTGAAACCAATAGAAAATCTAAAAGATCAGAGTTCATAGAAGAGACCCACGGAACCTTCAAGATTTGAAGACTGTGTGGAAGAATGGGCCAAAAATCGCACCTGAGCGATGCATGCCACTAGTTTCTCCATACAGTACGAAGTATTAAATAAATTTCAGTTAGCGTGTTCAATACTTTTTCCCTGTGTCATTCAATTTTGTTACACACAACTTAATTTCTGTACTTTTGGTTTCTTTGTATCTATGGATTGCATGGGTTGTTACCGACACGTCAAGGACAAGGTTGATCCAGGGAATATCCGATTGCCTCTCGGGGGATCAGGAAGGAATTTTTTTCCCAGCAGGAGCAAATTGGATCGTGCTTTGCTGGGTTTTTTGCCTTCCTCTGGATAAACTGTGGGTGTAGGATTATAACTTTTTTTTTTTTTTTTTTTTTTTTTTTTTTATGGTTTAACAGGATGGACTTTTGTCTTTTTTCAGCCAGACTAACTATGTCAATGGCACCTTCAGGAATATATTTACAGAGAAAACTGGGGACATGTTCAGTACTTAATTTACCCGCTGTATGTAGATTGTGTATGGATATAGATATTTATTATGGAATTTATTCACAGATTATCATAACAGGGACTCGTTCGCGCTGCTGTTTTAATGTTCATTGGCTTCTCTACCGGTATCACATTTGTTCAGCGGCTGCCTGATTAGAGTGTATATAGATATATCCTTTTTTTTTTCTGGCCTAGCACAGATATTATTTATTTATATTCAATGGATTAAAAGGGCCCAGTAAAAACAAAGTCTAGGACATCATATATTGTACAGACCTCTAGTATGTCTATCTTCACCTAGGATCTCAGCGGCTCTTTCATATCTAGAACTAAAACTGAGTTACTTCTTTTTGCCCTGAAGTTCCTTGCAATTGAAAGTTTTTGTCATGATTCTGGGGCGCCATTAAACTAACATTCCATTCAGTGTATGATGACCCATGCAGTATATCCATATTTCCTATGAAATGTCTCCCACCTTCACAAACTTGGAGTTCTGGTCTTCTAGTAGAAGGATATCTTCTTCCATCTTTTTTATCTTGGCTTCTGCTGTTACTTTCTCTAACTGTAGCTTTTGTCGAGCTGCTTCTTCCTCATCCAGCTGTTCCTCCAGATCCTACGGTGGACACAAACATAGTTCAGTTCATTGGGAAGAGGCTGCTACATGATGGTGAACCGAGAAGACAAAGAGTCAAATAATTCTAGATGGATTGTGCATCAGGAACTGAAAAATGCAAGCGCATCAAAATATTTGGGAAGTTACAGGTTAGCTTCATATAGCTTTGTAAGACCACCTGGACTTACACTTTAGAAGTGCTTTCTGAGATGTACAGGCTTGCTCAGGGCTTTACATTATAGTGGGAGACAATACAGTAACAATACAAGAGGGATTTGAGGGCCCTGCTCCTTGGAGCTTACAATCTAGGGGGGCGGGGTGAGTGGTACAGTAGGTAATCACTGTGGGGGATGGAGTGGTTGGAAGAGTAGAGGATACCAGAATTAGCAGAGGGCAGGATAGGCTTCCCTGAAGAGACAGGTTTTCAGTGAACGCCGAAAGGCAAGTAGAGTAGGTGATAATCTGATAGAGTGGGGTAGGGAGTTCCAGAGGATGGGTGATGCCCTGGAGAAGTCTTGGAGACTAGCATGGGAGGAGGAGATAAGGGAGCTAGAGAGTAGGAGGTTTTGCGAGGAGCGGAGTGTACGGTTTGGGTGATATTTAGAGATAAGATCGGTTATGTAAGTTGGGGCAGTGTTGTGGATGGCTTTATATGTCATTGTCAGAGTTTTGTATTTTATCTGTTGGGCAACTGGGAGCCAGTGGAGGGATTGGCAGAGAGGGGTGGAGGACACTGAATGGAGGCCATTGGAGGGATTGGCAGAGAGGGGTGGAGGACACTGAATGGAGGGCAGTGGAGGGATTGGCAGAGAGGGATGGCGGATACGGAATGGTTAGTGAGGTGGATGAGTCTGGCAGCAGCGTTCATGATAGATGACGAAGGTGGTCCATACCTGGATATGAGACTGCATCTTCTTCTTCTCATTCTGCAGAACCTGGTTCCTCTCCTCTTCTTCCTCCATTCGGATCTCCATGTCCCTTAGAATCTCCTCCAGTTCCTGTTTCTTGACTGCTAGACGGGCCCTCATCTCTTCGGCCTCTGCAAACAATTCTGTCTCAGCCTGGAGTTGCTCGGCCAGGATGTTCTTCTCTTCTACCAGCTGGATGATGAGATCACAAAATGGTCAGACATTAGATAGACATTCCCATGTTCTCTAAAAAGCCCACCTCTAATGACTTCCATGAGTGTCTTCTAAACTACTATACTAATATACTGTAAGAACGCCTATAAAACACAACATAGCCGTCTTAAATGTGAAATTTAAAGTCAATACATTGTCATTTATCTATTACTCACCTGCTGGTGCTTCCTTTCCATCTCCACCAGCTCTCCCTCCACTTTCGATTGCTTCTCCTTCACCTTCAGCAGCTCCTCATCTTTGGCCAGCAGCTCCTCTTCCTGTCGGGTCACCTGTAAGAGGGGCTTTACCTGCAAAACAAGAAGGCTTGGCTCAAATATTCTGTAAATGTGATAAGAGAGATTGTTGGCAAGTTCAGTTGATCGATAATAACGCGACAAGTTTTCAAACTATCTCACAAGGGGTAAACAAGCACAAACTCCAACACAATGGACCAGGTCAGCACATTAAACTTTAATTTCTCCATTTTGTTCAGTGTCAGTGTTGCTTGGTCTTAAAGTGACTTGAAATACTATTATTTATTTCAGGTCCCCCGCTGGCACTCCTGGCTCCTCCTCTTCTTGGTGTGCCCCCCACAGCAAGCTGCTTGCTATGGGGGCACACCTGCAGGCTCATTCCCAAGCCACGCTGCCTGCACTTATAAGCACTGTTTGGCCCTGCCCCTTTGTCACAGGTTTTGATGAACAGCAGTGAGAGCCAATGGCTTCCGCTTCTGCAACAAAGCCATTGGGACCAGGAAGTGAGGGGAGAGAGCCACTGCAGATGGCCACAGCTTTGGAGGAAGGTAAGTATGGGGGGGGGAGAAGACATACTGACATACAGCTACATTAGTTATATTTCTTCTGTTTCCAATGAATGTTTGAGATAAAACTATTCTTAATGATCAGTTGGTTCATCTTTCAATGCACATACAGTGGATATAAAAAAAGTCTTCACACCCCTGTTAAAATGTCAGGTTTCTGCGATGTAAAACAATGAGACAAAGATAAATAATTTCATAACTTTTTCCACCTTTAATGTGACCTATAAACTGTACAACTCAGTTGAACAACAAACTGAAATCTTTTAGGTTAAGGGATATTCAAATAAAAACCTAAAATCTGGTTGCATAAGTGTTCACACCCTTACACTAATCCTTTGTTGAAGCCCCTTTTGATGTGATTCCAGCACTCAGTCTTTTTGGGGATGAGTCTATCAGCATGGCACATCCTGACTCGGCAATATTTGCCCGCTCTTCCATGCAAAACACTCCAAATCTGTCAGATTGTGAGGACACCTCCTGTGCACAGTCCTCTTCAGATCACCCCACAGATTTTCCATTGAATTCAGGTCTGGGCTCTGGCTGGGCCATTCCAAAACTTTCATCTTCTTCTGGTGAAGCCATTCCTTTGGTGATTTGGATGTATGCTTTGTGTCGTTGTCATGCTGAAAGATGAAGTTCCTCTTCATGTTCAGCTTTCTAGCAGAAGCCTGAAGGTTTTGCACCAATATTGACTGGTATTTGGAACTGTTCATAATTCCCTCTACCTTGACTAAGGCCCCAGTTCCAGGTAAAGAAAAACAGCCCCAAAGCATGATGCTGCCACCACCATGCTTCACGGTGGGTATGGTGTTCTTTTGGTGACGTGCAGTGTTGTTTTAGCGCCAAATATATATCTTTTGGAATTATGGCCAAAAAGTTCAACCTTGGTTTCATCAGACCTGAATACATTTTCCCACATGCTTTTGGGAAACTTCAGATGGGTTTTTGCTAAATTTAGCCGGGCTTGGATGTTTTCTTGGTAAGAAAAGTCTTCCGTTTTGCCACTCTACCCCATAGCCCAGACATATGAAGAACACGGGAGATTGTTGTCACATGGACCACACAGCCAGTACTTGCCAGATATTCCTGCAGCTCCTTGAATGTTGCTGTAGGCCTCTTGGCAGCCTTCCAGACCAGTTTTCTTCTCGTCTTTTCATCCATTTTGGAGGGACGTCCAGTTCTTGGTGATGTCCCTGTTGTGCCACATTTTCTCCACTTGATGATGACGGTCTTCACTGTGTTCCATGGTATATCTAATGCCTTGGAAATTCTTTTGTACCCTTCTCCTGACTGATACCTTTTAATAATGAGATCCCTTTGATGCTTTTGAAGCACTCTACGGACCATGGCTTTTGCTGTAGGATGCGACTAAGAAAATGTCAGGAAAGACCTACTAGAAGAGCTGAACTTTATTTGGGATTAATCAGAGGCACTTTAAATGATGGCAAATGTGTACTGACTCCTATTTAACAATTTGAATGTGATTGCTTAACTCTGAACACAGCTAAATCCCCAGTTATAAGAGGGTGTGCACACTTATGCAACCACATAATTTGAGTTTTTTATGTTTACTACCCCCCCCCCCCCCCCACAAAAGATTTCAGTTTGTTGTTCGACTGAGTTGTGCAGTGTATAGGTCACTCACCTTTGTCTTATTTTTTTACATCAGAGAAACCTGACATTTTAAAAGGGGTGTGTAGACACACACACACACACATATATATATATACATACACACACACACACATATATATATACATACACACACACACACACACACATATATATATATACATACATACACACACACATATACACACACACACACATATATATATATATATATACATACACACACACATATATATATATATATATACATACATACATACACACACATATATACACACACACATATACACACACATATATACACACACATATATATATATATACATACATACATACACACACATATATATATACATACATACATACATACATACATACACACACATATATACACACACACATATAGTGAGTTCTAATTGTACTGGACAATAATTGCAAACCTATACAAACAGCATGAGATCTGGATTGCCAAGCTGACCGTTTTCGAACTGTGGACATGAACAACTCCTTGCCCCATCTGTATGCCATGGCGGTGTAGTGTTTATACCAGGTGCTACAGTGCAAAGGGGTAGTGCTTAGCAGGATGGAATCATTGTGACACCACAGTGGGGGGGGGTCTGAACCTTGACCAACTCCACCATATAGAAGCAATAAGTCCTGAATACATTGGGAGGCAGGAAGACATCAGTCTGTCTACTTGGGCATGATATCTCCAATCCACCAGCCTGCAGATGTGGTACAACTGCAAAGCCTTATTCAATTCATGAAGCTCTGATTTGAACGTCGTCTTAGCCTGCCTCCTGGAAGCGATGCTTGTTCCAGGGCAGAGCTTATTTCTCGAGCAACACACTCAGTAACTGCCCCGGGTACTAGATTGGTCTGCAGAAGTCTGCCAATGGAAGCCTCAGCACTGGATGGGAGCCCTGGCTTTGGCCAGTATAAGCCAGCTTGGCACGTTTCCTTTAACACCTACATGGCCCAGAGGTAACCTTGAATCGGTTCCACTTCTAATAATTATTTCAAACACATTTAAGTCTCACTTCAATTTTTAGTACTGTGTTCTATTTCCCGAGGGCAAAATACAGGTAGCACTTTGTCTGATCTCCCTACGAGCTGTTTAAGGCTGTTGGTTGCGTCACACAGAGCACCCTTTAAGCCTCATGGCCATCCAACAATGCCCCTAGTAAGGTGACGGCTGCCTTGACGGCACTTTTCTCTGTCTCCAAGCACTTGCCTAAGACACAAGGAATGCAGGAGGAAAGGGGCTTGCCAACTAAAATGTTCCAGGCAAGCAAGTGTTTGGAGATGGAGAATAGCGCCATCTATGGATACAGCCGTCTTCTTGCAAGCTCTGTTGTCAAAGGCTAGATGTGAGGTTGGCCAGGGCACCCCTTTCTCCATGGCCATCCAACAGCACATAGGAAGATGAAACACAGTACTACATAAATAAAAACGGAACAGAACACATCAATAAAAATAGAACTGAGACAACTTCTTTAAAACATTTTTATTTTTATTAACCCCTCGCCTACAGGGCACTTCTACCCCCTTCCTGCCTACAGGGCACTTATACCCCCTTCCTGCCTACAGAGCACTTATACCCCCTTCCTGCCCAGGCCAATTTTCAGCTTTCAGTACTGTCACACTTTGAATGACAATTGCGCGGTCATGCAACACTGTACCCATATGATATTTTTATCATTTTTTTTTTTAGACAGATAGAGCTTTATTTTGGTGGTATTTAATCACCTCTGGGTTTTTTTTTATTTTTTTGCTAAACAAAAAACAACTGAAAATTTTGAAAAAAAAAAATAAATTTTCTTAGTTTGTTATAAAATTTTGTAAATAAGTGATTTTTCTCCTTCACTGATGTGCGCTAATGAGGCTGCAGTGATGGGCACTGATAGGCAGCACTCATATATGGCACTGATGCGCACTGATAGGCGGCATGGACTGGCACTGATAGGTGGCACTAATAGGTGGCACTGAAAGGCAACTCAGATGGGCACTGATATGTGGTATTGATGTGCACTGGTAGGCACTGATATGTGTCATTGATGTGCACTGGTAGGCACGGATATTTGGCATTGATGTGCACTGGTAGGCACTGATATGTGGCATTGATGTGCACTGGTAGGCACTGATATGTGGCATTGATGTGCACTGGTAGGCACTGATATGTGGCACTGATGTGCACTGGTAGGCACTGATATGTGGCTTTGATGAGGACTGACAGCTGATATTGATGGTCACTGACAGATGGCACTGATGGGGCTACACTGATCATCAGGGCACACTGATCATCAGTGCCCTCATGATCAGTGTACATGTCCCCTCTGAGGAATGCCGACTACCGGCTCTCCTCTCCTCTGTCAGCGTGACAGCTCATAAGGAGATGAATGCCGATAACCGGCATTTCCTTATTTGCATGCAATCAGCTGTGATTGGACACAGCTGATCACATGACAAAGCTGACGTCTTCGGCTATTTCCGTTGATCGGTGACTACCGATCGCTGCGCTGCGCGCCCCCGGAGCCACGCATGCGCAGTTAAGAGTGGTATGAGATGAACGTATGGCTCATGACGGTCACAGAGAGTTACACACAGTAATAAAGCCATTTCTTCTACAGCTGATCACACGGACATTGGTGTCGCGGTGGTGCCTCCGGCTTACCTTAGTGAAGAGTCGCCACCATTGCCAGTGGCGCAGTTTCAGGTAGGCGGCGCAGTTCCGCTGTAACACCTTCAAGGCGCTGAGCTGCTGCTGCTTCTTGGCAAAGGCCCTGATCAGAAGAGACAAAGCTAGAAGTGTGAACCATGAACGAGCCGACGTGTCTGTGCTTTTAGTGGATACATTGTCGCATTCACGTTACATACTTTTCAGGGATATAACGGAACGGTTATCTTTGTTATCTGACACAGAATGTGAATGCTGCGAACAGGCACCGCCGCCGGCTTCAGCACTGCCAGCAGGGGAGAGGAGAGATCCCAGTAGGACCAGCACACTGATTCACATGCCGTGTGATCCTTTTACAAAGTGTGAGTCTATTTGCCTTTTAATAAACATTTGTACTATGACATGTATTGTATTAGTTTCCCATGATCCTTGATGTGAATACTGTGGGGTGAGAGGAGGAGGAAGTGATTTGCTGGCTTGAGAAGCAGCTGCCTAGGATCATACAAATTCAGAGAGATTTTCTACTTTTTCAAAATTGAAGCAATACTAGCTGGGGAGTGGCTGTCCCACTGAATTCCTGGATGTGGAATCTACACTGAAGGTTATGGCAGTTGCATGTTTTCCCAAAGGGATACTGTTTTAGCACACTGCTTCACATACACTATATTGCCAGAAGTATTGGTCGGCCGGCCTTTCCACGCACATGAACTTTAATGGCCCCCCAGTCTTAGTCCGTAGGGTTCAATATTGAGTTGGCCCCGCCCTTTACACACACATGAACTTTAATGGCCCCCCAGTCTTAGTCCGTAGGGTTCAATATTGAGTTGGCCCCGCCCTTTCCACGCACATGGCCTTTAATGGCCCCCCAGTCTTAGTCCGTAGGGTTCAATATTGAGTTGGCCCCGCCCTTTGCAGCTATAACAGCTTCAACTCTTCTGGGAAGGCCGTCCACAAGGTTTAGGAGGGTGTCTATGGGAAGGTTGGACCATTCTTCCAGAAGCACATTTGTCAGGTCAGGCACTGATGTCGGGGGAGGAGGCCTGGCTCACAGTCTCCACTCTAATTCATCCCAAAGGTGTTCTATGGGGTTGAGGTCAGGACTCTGTGCAGGCCAGTCAAGCTCCTCCACCCCAAACTGGCTCCCCCATGTCTTTATGAACCTTGCTTTGTGCACTGGTGTGCAGTCATGTTGGAGCAGGAAGGGGCCATCCCCAAACTCTTCCCACAAAGTTGGGTGCATGAAATTGTCCAAAATGTCTTGGTATGCTGACATCTTAAGAGTTCCCTTCACTGGAACTAGGGGGCCAAGCCCAACCCCTGAAAAACAACCCCACACTATAATCCGCCCTCCACCAAACTTTACACTTGGCACAATGCAGTCAGGCAAGCACCGTTCTCCTGGCAACAGCCAAACACAGACACGTCCATTGTATTGCCAGATAGCGAAGCGTGATTGGTCACTCCAGAGAACACATCTCCACTGCTCTAGAGTCCAGTGGCGGCGTGCTTTACACCACTGCATCCGACGCTTTGCATTGCACTTGGTGATGTAAGGCTTGGATGCAGCTGCTTGACCATGGAAACCCATTCCATGAAGCTCTCTACACACTGTTGTTGGGCTCATCTGAAGGCCACACCAAGTTTGGAGGTCTTTAGCTATTGACTCTGCAGACAGTTGGCGACTTCTGTGCGCTTCAGCATGCGCTGACCCCGCCCTGTCATGTGACGTGGCCTACCACTTGGTGGCTGAGTTGCTGTTGTTCCCAGTTGCTTCCACTCTGTTATAATCCCACTAACAGTTGAGCGTGGAATATTTAGTAGCCAGGAAATGTCACGGATGGACTTATTGCACAGGTGGCCACCTATCACAGGACCACGCTTGGAGTCACTGAGCTCCTGAGAGCGACTCATTCTTTCACCAATGTGTGTAGAAGCCGTCTGCATGCCTAGGGGATGATTGTATACACCTGTGACCATGGAGGGGATTGGAGCACCTGAATCACATGATTTGGAGGGGATTGGAACACCTGAATCCAGTGATTTGGAGGGGATTGGAACACCTGAATCCAGTGATTTGGAGGGCGGGGCCAATACTTTTGGCAATATAGTGTACTTTGTGATCTGCGTTACAAGATACAGTTGTGTTGAAGAGTTTGCATAGCCTGGCAGAAATCACACAATTTTGGAATTGATATTGAAAATATGACTGATCATGCCACATAACGGTCTTTCATTAAATGATAGTGATCACTTGAAGCCATTTATTATCACATCGTTGTTTGGCTCCTTTTTAAATTATAACAGAAATCACCCAAATGGCCCGGATCAAAGGTTTCCCTCCCCTGGAATGTTTGGCCTTGGTACAGACACGCAAGGGTGAAAATGGCAATTAAAGGTTAATTTCCCATATCTGTGGCTTTTTAAATTGCAATTAGTGTCTGTATAAATAATGAGTGAGTCCGTTAGCTCTCCCGTGAATGCACCGATCAGGCTAGATACTAAGCCACGGGGAGCAGAAAAGAACTGTCAAAAGACCTGCGTAACAAGGTAATGGCGCTTTATAAAGAAGAAAAAGGATATAAAAAGATATCCAAAGCCTTGAATATGCCAGTCAGTACTGTGCAATCACTTAAGAAGTGGAAAATGTGGGGATCCCTCGATACCAAGCCAAGGTCAAGTTGATCAAGAACGATAACACAGCAAACTCTGTACTCTTGCACTTCGGGATGGACTCGGCTAGGGTTATGGTAACATCACAGATATCCTGGAAAATGCACTCCTTGTTGCCCTCAAAGGACCTGGGTAGTCCAGATCTCTACCTCTTCCTCAGAGCCACCAGGAAGAGGTTGAGACCTTGAAACGCGTTAGCCTGTTGGAAGTCCATTGTTTCATTTTTTTTTGGACGTATATGCAATGTGGATTGGACACCACTGTTTAGTGTGTCGTGCCTTTGACCTGTTTGCCTATTGTGAGTACGATACTTACTTTTTATCCTTCCAATACATTTTTTACAATAATGCACTTGGCCGGGGCGCCCTCTGTTTGTTTTTCTTTGTATCCAGACCAAGAATGATTGCAGTCACAACTTACAGAAGAATTGTTCGGGATATAAAGAAACACCCCCCCACAGGTAACCTCGGAAGAAATACAGGCTGCTCTGGAAAAAGACGTTGTGGTTGTTTTGAAGGAGCACAATACGATGATACGAACAAAAATGAGCTGCATGGTCGAGTTGCCAGAAAAAAACCTTTACTGCACCAATGCCACACAAAAAAAAAAAAAAAGCCCGATTACAATATTCCTGACAACATCTTGACACACATCACTGGGCTTTTTTGTGGCATTGGCCCAATAAAGGCTTCTTTCTGGCTGTCAACCATTCAGCTCAGTTATCATTATGATTTAAAAAGGAGCCAAACAACTATGTGATAATAAATGGCTTCATATGATCACTAGACAGTCTTTTGGCATGATCAGTCATATTTTCAACATCAATGCCAAAATTTCACGATTTCTGCCAGGGGATGCAAACTTTTGAGAACAACTGTGTACAGGTATGTTTGTGAGTATGTCTGCTTTCTCATACACAAATACCTGGTCTAGCAGAAGTATGCTATGTGTTGTTCTATTTTTCTATGATTGTTGATATAAATACTGTGCAATGAGAGAAGGAAGAGGAGATCTGCTGGCCTGAGAAGCAGCTTCCTAGGGTTACAGGAATTCTGTGCTTTTTTACTTTTTTTTTTTTTTTAAATAGAGAAGCAATACTAGCTGGTTAGTGGCTGTCCAATTAAATCGATGGAGGGACATCTGGATATGGAATTGTGATGGGAGTCACTTTGGGTGGGGGGGCCCATGGAACCCAGCTCACTTTGGAGAGGTGGGGAGACCCCCGTCTCAGCTCCCCATATCCCTATTATGTGTAAGTCACCCTGTGCCTGTTAGGGGTACAGGGTGATCTGTCCTAATATTGGGGTGGGGGGTTGTTGATTGTTGGATGTTATGTGGTTGCGTTCTATTGTGTGTCTTGCTTGGGAGCAAACTATTATGGGATGTATGTGTTTATGTGTATTGGCTTGGTGGGGGTTGTCTCCAGCAGCCCTCCCTCCTGAGGGGACTGTCTGTTGGTGAGTATCGGTACTAAATGTAGATTGCCCCACCCTGTGTCATTATGCAGGGAGGGGGGATTGTCCCCTTGAGTGTATATATATTGTATCTGTAAACAAACGAAACCAGCACTCAAATCTTCATGCAGACTAGAAGGAATTCAGAATGCCAAACGGGGAGGTGCAGCCCTTCAAAGACCGGGAAATCTGGATACTGATGAACAAAAGCAAACAAGGGCGCACTCTCATCGTGCATTACCGTGGTACACCACGTTTATTGTGAAATCAAATAGATATATACTCACAAACCACAGGAGAATAAAAGCAGAATAAGTGGTCCGCAATGGCAGTCCAATACAATGCTGTGCCCTAATTAGGGAAAATCTGACGCGTTTCGGGAGACGAATCCCCTTCTTCGGAGCTAAAGTGTATACCTGCTGGTCCAACACTTATATACCAAAGAATGCTAAAGAGGTCAATAAACACGGGGTGTACCACGGTAATACACGATGAGAGTGTGCCCTTGTCTGCTTTTGTTCATCCATATATTGTATCTGTGTTAAAATAATCTAGTCTACCTCCTGGTTTACTTCAAGACTGGTGTCGTCTAGTCTTGTTTGGTCGGTTGTGGTGTCTGTGGTCGGTGTTCGGACGGGGAAGCGATATTCTAACGGATGTACCCAAGCGCAGTCTGGGTCGGTTCCGGTACAGGAATCTACACTGCATTTTATGGCACTTGTATGTTTTACTGAAGGGATGGCGCTTTGCACACAACTTCGCAAACTCTGGGATTTTCTTTCCAAGATAGACAGGTATGTTGGTGAAGTATGTCTGCTTTCTAATACACAAGAACCTGGTCTAGTAATAATAGGCATGCATGCTAAAACAAAGACAACCACCTTCTGAAATAGTAAATGACGTGGCTGTTGGCTTCAATAATTTATCATTTTTTTAAATTTTAATCATTTTTTAGCTGCTGCCCTAGAGCCAGTATTCAGCATGGGAAGTGGAACTTTTCCAAGTCAGTGACTTAACATTCTGAAACCACCGGATCACAGAGGACAAGGGGGCGCTCTTTACGTCTGGAGGAAATAGAAATTTAATCTCCGAACACGGAAAGGTTTCTTCACAGTAAGAGCTGTGAGAATGTGGAATAGACTCCCTCCAGAGTTGGTTCTAGCCAGCTCAGTGGATTGCTTTAAAAAAGTCCTGGATTCTTTCTTAGATACACAGAATATAACTGGATATAAGTAAAGTTGATCCAGGGAATATCTGATTGCCTCTCGGGGGATCAGGAAGGATTTTGTTTACCCTGCAGGAGCAAATTGGATCATGCTTTACTGTTTTTTTTTTGCCTTCCTCTGGATCAACTGTGGGTGTAGGATTGTAAGTTTTTTTTTTTTTATGTTGAACTGGATGGACTTTTGTCTTTTTTCAGCCAGACTAACTATGTAACTATGTACGTATGGCTGCCAAGCAGCCAGAATTTTCAGTTTTCCATCCAGTGTACCAAAGTCTAATACTCACTTTCTGGCTAAATAGCCTCGGCAAACGGCTTGGAAGTAAATGATGATATCGGTTATCTTGAGGTCCCGTTCCTCCTCCAGGTGCGCCAGCACACCCGCGCGGAAGAAGATCTTACTCTGCCCGATGCGGTAGAGGTTTGGGTCCAGCTCGAGTGACCGGATCTGCAGGGAGAACCCAACTGTCAGCAAAAAGGTGCAGGCAGAGTAACTGCATAAGGATCACATGACCTCGTCTGTTTTCATGACCAAAGTTTTCCTCTTACCATCCTCTCGCAGGCCTGCTTCCCATCCATGAATCCTTTGGGGATGGAGTTGGGGGTGAGGATTTCATACCTGGAGAGCAGAACACAGGAACACATTAATCGCCTCCATCCATGAGATATCCAGTACACACACTTTTATCACCCTACGAAGTCCTACTCTATGATCTCTATGGGAATTGTGGTCACATGACCAAGCTTGACTCCACAACCAGGCTCCACTCATCTGCTAGGCGGAATTTGATTTTTGAAACAATGTTTCAGACATGTTCCACAATTCACTGCAACGTCTACTGATTCATGATTCTACAATTACCAGATAACCCTCGCTGTACTAGAAAGGGGAAAAATTACCAGGAGGAAATATAGTTATGGAACTAAAAAATTGTGATGGTTAAAAAATTAAGTCAAATTCCCAGCCGTAAGGGCTTGTTCACACTGATTATTGGGGGATGGTAAAACTCCAGCATTGAGCCACGCTTTTACAGCCCCCCTCGTGTCCCCCCTTCCACCACTATCCTCTTTAGCTGCCAGGGGTGCACATATACTGCAGCAGGAATTATCACTTTCAGTGGGTGTAGTGCCCATCAAATGCAACCAATTCAAGAGAATGGGACTGCTCTGCAAGCTCCCCCCAACCGCGTGCAATGCATGGGGTTGCAGCACGCTACTGTGGAGGTCAAGGCATTAAAGTGGTTGTATACCCTGACATATAACCAGTGAAGTGGCTGGCCCCAGGTGATGCACAAAGTTGAAACAAATCATCCTATAAAAGTTGTACCTGGTTAAATGCGGTCTTCTCCTCCCTACAGCCATTCAAAGTTCTGAATTTATAAAGCTTATCTGAGCTTTTAGAAAACAGTGGGTGGGAAGTAAAGTTACACACTGTAGAGCTCAGTGAGCAGAGCTCTGAGAGCTGATTGGAGGGAAGGGAAAGGAAGGGACATACCCCCCTTCACAAAGCAATATAGCTGAGGCTGTCAATCACAGACTGTGCACTGGAGTTCCCTCCCCTGTCACCTTTTTCCTCTTGGTGTCAGGAAAACTTGTCAGAAGTGATTCATGCTGATAGCAGCAGATGGATGCAGCAGACAGAAAAGACACTTAGTGCTTTGGATTGAGATAAGTACACACTATCGAGGGAAATGCTTGGTTCATATTTCAGGTCTAAGGTTTACAGCCACTTTAAAGCAGGCAGTGAGGAGGCGATGCAATACCTCCTCACCACCTGTCAGATTCTCTCTAATGAGTGATCCGAACACGGATTGCTCTTCAGGGATCAAAGCACATGTGAATGAGACCGAAGGATTTTTTGTTTAATAAGGACAAGCAAGGAAATCGAAAAAGGATATGAAAATAACAATTGGGACAAAGAAAAAAATATCACAGAAAAACCCAAAGAAGCTCCACTTTACACGCTTGTGTTTACAGTACCTCTGCCGGAACTCCTGAAAGACAATCCGGTTGGGAAATCCCTGCCGGCAGATTCGGATCCCTTCCAGAACCCCATTACACCTCAGCTGATCCAGCACCAAATGGGGGTCCAATTTACCAGCCTGTACAGGACAGAGAAAAATGGAAGCCAAGGTTAGAGGGAAGAATCAAAACCAAATAACTGTGAACCCTAAGGGCCAGTTCACACCGCATGCGTTTGTTGCTTTTATTCTGCATCCAAAATGCACAGAAAGTAGATGATAGGGTTGTCAATGTCATAGCTCACATCAGTGCTTGCAGGTCCAGTATGGCTGCATTTTTCCTGCACTGTACTGGAACGCAGTAAAATGCATTAAAAACGCACCGGAACAACCATGTCCCTATTTAAATTAAAGAAAAAGAGGGGAAAAATGAACTGGAATGCATAAAAAAACGCACCGGAACATGTCAAAAACGCATCAAAAATTCACCGGAGCGCACCAAAAACGCATCGTGAGAAGCTTACCGTGTGCAGTGAAATCAGAGTAAGCCATTTCATTCCAGGAGAGGAGCCGGTACACATGTGCAAGACTGAAGGGGAGGAGCCGCTACACATGTGCAAGACTACAGGGGAGGAGCCGCTACACATGTGCAAGACTGAAGGGGAGGAGCCGGTACACATGTGCAAGACTGCAGGGGAGGAGCCGGTACACATGTGCAAGACTGCAGGGGAGGAGCCGGTACACATGTGCAAGACTGAAGGGGAGGAGCCGGTACACATGTGCAAGACTGCAGGGGAGGAGCCGGTACAGCTGTGCAAGACTGAAGGGGAGGAGTCGGTACACCTGTGCAAGACTGAAGGGGAGGAGCCGGTACAGCTGTGCAAGACTGAAGGGGAGGAGCCGGTACACGTGTGCAAGACTGAAGGGGAGGAGCCGGTACACGTGTGCAAGACTGAAGGGGAGGAGCCGGTACACCTGTGCAAGACTGAAGGGGAGGAGCCGGTACACCTGTGCAAGACTGAAGGGGAGGAGCCGGTACACCTGTGCAAGACTGAAGGGGAGGAGCCGGTACACCTGTGCAAGACTGAAGGGGAGGAGCCGGTACACCTGTGCAAGACTGAAGGGGAGGAGCCGGTACACTTGTGCAAGACTGAAGGGGAGGAGCCGGTACACCTGTGCAAGACTGAAGGGGAGGAGCCGGTACACCTGTGCAAGACTGAAAGCAATACTAAAAGATTCAGTTTTCTTATTTGTTCAAACAACAAACGTGTTATCCTCACCTGCTGTGCGCAGTGGTTTTGCACAGAGCAGCCCGGATCCTCTTCTTCTCCGGTCCACTGCCGTCTCTCCTGGCTCCTCCTTTCTCAAGCAGCTTGCTATGGGGGCACCTGAGCAGGCACACTCCTGAGCCACTGCTCCGTGTTTTCAATCACACACGGAGCCACAGCTTGGCCCTGCCACTTCTGTCTCCTGGCTGTGACTGACTATCTCAGCCAATGAGGAGGCAGAGACCCGAGAGAGCCGAGGTTCTCATGCACATTTCTGGATCATGATGGGGCTTTGGTAATAGTGGGGCTGGTGCGCACAGAAGGTTTATTACCTTCATGCAGAGAACCTTGAGCCTTTACAACCACTTGAAGGGAAGGCCAGAAGTAAATTCACGTCTAGGCCTCCGAATAAGAAAACTGAATGCGAATCTAGATGGCTACACACCTAAAACCTAGCATCAGTAAAGCACATTCAAAACAACACAACTTTATTCCAGCACCCTCCAGAACCAAGGTCAACGCCTGCCTCCACCTATGGCACACTTACTCGTTTCTCGTGGTTGGGGATGATGCATCGCACAAAGTTGGGGTTGGTGTTCCGCAGCGTCGCCATCAGCTTGGTCAGGGACTCCTTGTACAGCTGGCCCACCGTTCGGAACATTCCCTTCTTCGTCTTGTAGGCGGATCCGAATGCCGTCTCCGTCATTCCGGCCACTTGATCCAGGCCCACGATACGATCCACTACAAAGCAGAATGCGGCCATTAGTGACTGTCGTACTACTAATCTGAGGGTCCATGGGGCCGGTTCAACCCGGTTTCTGTCTGCAACCTCCTCTGCGTGTTCCCCATTTCAACTCTACATTTGCTTTACCACATCCTGCGGCCCCAACTATTTGTTCAAATATTGCTTCTGCTGGTGACAACAGATGAAACAGTTGCTGGAACGATCCTATTGTGATTGTAACAGTCTCCGATTGAAGCTGCCAATCATGGAGAGCTGCACAGTGCAGATCGCACGAACCTCAGAGCAAACACAGGAAACTTTGGTTAACATATCTACCCCTTGCTAAGGGGATCCCCAACACTGCAGGGGATAAATGCTCATTTTTACCCAAAGTACCAAAAAGCAGCTTTTCTTACCATATTCCTTTTCCCCCCGCAGGCTTCCATCTCTCCATGCGACTGGCTGCTCATGGCGGCTTCTCTTCCACGTTCTGTCGGGCGCGCTCTAACATCATCAAGTACAATGCAGCACCAGCAGTGCAGCATTGTATTTGAGGACGTAGAGAACCCATCCACAACTCTAGTGGTCAGAGAATGAAGGATACACCACACACTTCCACTTTTTTTCCCCTAGACCATTAGTCTCAAAACTGTGGCCCTTTGCCTGTGTTTATCTGGCCCTTGTGGCACTACTCCTCACACAGATGTGAGGACATATGCTTCTACTGACACCAACAATGGGGCACTATTCCTCCCACTGACACCAACGATGGGGCACTATTCCTCCCGCTGACACCAATGATGGGGCACTATTCCTCCCACTGACACCAATGATGGGGCACTATTCCTCCCACTGACACCAATGATGGGGCACTATTCCTCCCACTGACACCAATGATGGGGCACTATTCCTCCCACTGACACCAATGATGGGGTACTATTCCTTCCACTGACACCAATGATGGGGCACTATTCCTCCCACTGACACCAATGATGGGGCACTATTCCTCCCACTGACGCCAATGATGAGGCACTATTCCTCCCACTGACGCCAATGATGGGGCACTATTCCTCCCACTGACGCCAATGATGGGGCACTATTCCTCCTACTGATACCAATGATGGGGCACTATTCCTCCCACTGACACCAATGATGGGGCACTATTCCTCCCACTGACACCAATGATGGGGCACTATTCCTCCCACTGACACCAATGATGGGGCACCATTCCTCCCACTGATACCAATGATGGGGCACCATTCCTCCCACTGACACCAATGATGGGGCACCATTCCTCCCACTGATACCAATGATGGGACACTATTCCTCCCACTGACACCAATGATGGGGCACTATTCCTCCCACTGATACCAATGATGGGGCACTATTCCTCCCACTGATACCAATGATGGGGCACTATTCCTCCCACTGATACCAATGATGGGGCACTATTCTTTCCACTACCACCAATGATGGGGCACTCTTCCTTCCACTGACACCAACGATGGGGCACCATTCCTCCCACTGACACCAACGATGGGGCACCATTCCTCCCACTGACACCAACGATGGGGCACTATTTCTCCCACTGACATTAATGATGGGGCACTATTCCTCCCAGTGACAATAATAATGGGGCACAATTCTTCCTACTGACACCAATGATGGGGCACTATTCCTCCCACTGACACCAATGATGGGGCACTATTCCTCCCACGGACACCAATGACGGGGCACTATTCCTCCCACTGACACCAATGATGGGGCACTATTCCTCCCACTGATACCAATGATGGAGCACTATGCCCCCACTGACACCAATAATGGGGCACTATTCCTCCCACTGACACCAATGATGGGGCACTATTCCTCCCACTGACACCAATGATGGGGCACTATTCCTCCCACTGAAACACAATGATGGGGCACTATTCCTCCCACTGAAACACAATGATGAGGCACTTTTCTTTCCAATGACCCCAATAACAGGGCAGTAATCCTTCCATGGATACCAATGATGGGGCACCATTTCTTCCACTTACACCAGTGATGAGGCACCATTTCCCCTCCAACTGACCACAGGCACTATTCAATTTCTTTTAATTCCGATGACACCAGAGCATTTTCTACTCTCACTGGCCACAGTCTGGCCCCTAAAGTCTGAAGGACAGCAAAGTGGTTATTGTTCGGAAACTTTGCAGACCCCTGCCCTAGACAACAATGAGCATTTTTACCCCTTGTACTGCAGGGTGCTCCCCACTATAAAGATAGTTTTGTATTTTCAACTTTAAGAAGCTATTTGTTCAGATCCCTTCTGCATAAAATATTAAAGCCCTGATGAATCTTGTACAACCTCCTGAAATGCGTTGGCTGTCAACACTTTTATTGCAATAAATAAATCCGTATCTGGACTGATTTCCACATACATATCCTTTTATCCTACGAAAAGTCCTTACTACTGTCTGTGTCCCTGCTGGGAAGATACACCCTGTTTATATGTATTAATGACCACTGAAAGTAATAATTTTAGGTTGTCACCACAACAGGAAGAGAGGGGAAAACTTCCATTGGTGACACCTGTTTCAGTCTCATTTTGCTCTCACTTCTTGTTGCATCTCCAAGGCAGGGAGCAAAAGTGTATCTCAAGAGTCTTCAGTGACAGGGAAAGCATGGAGGCCATGCCAATGGCTCTGGACCTGGAAAGCGCTCTGCGATGTCCTAACAGAACAGGGTCTCAAATACACCCAACGTTGGAACCCTGCCCCCAAAGGTCACTGCTTCTAGATGTCCAGTCCAATAGGGACCAGGTATGGTACTCCAAAGCTGAGCTGAGCAAAGGTTGTCATTGTGGACACACATTCAACCAGCGAGGTACAAAGAATCCTGAATGGAGAGAAAGATAAGCTAGCAAAAGATTGGCGAGACTTTTCCTAGAAGAGCTGAAGAAAAGATGTCCATCCTTCTAGGACACTAACAAAACACTGAGGCATGCTGATAGTAGTAGGGGTTATCCTGGGCTGGCCTGTTATTTTTTTTCTCTGCCAATCCTTCTGTAGGCGGCAATATAGCCCAACAGTTAATGACTTCCTGTGTTCCTCAATAGGCGGGACCAAAGTCTAAAATTTCAAGCTGTCATCGGGAACAGGAAGAGAGGACTTAGAATGGGGACACCTGCTCTGGTGACAACTGTCTAAGAGGAGTGCTCCGATTTCAGAGTAATTTCCTCTTCCTGCTGTATCTCCAGGAGAGGGTTCTCAACAATTGGACCCTGACCAAAAACCTGTCAGCAACCTTAAAACTTCCCTGCACTATCCAAAAATGTAAAAGAAATGTTGGCCTTTGATATAGATTGAGCTAACTGAGCCATCTCAAACAAGCATGTGCATTTCCCGTACCTGGAGGATCTTTTCAATAGAACCTCACAATGTTGCATGAGGTATTTATAGATTTCTGGGCCACACAGGATTGGTACTGTATATGGGCAGATTGTTTTGTACAAGCAATCTTTCCCAAGACTGGTGAACATAAGCAGAAGGATGGTCCAACACGTGGGAACAATTAGACCAACCTATGGTCATTTTAGCAACTTGTCTTCTTCCCAAATATGCATGCTTGGCCATGGATCACGGGGAAAGCAGCAGGTAATGGAGAGTGGAAAGAGCGGGTCCGTGGTGGGTGGATGGAGCGAGTCGACGGGGTACGGAGCAGGGCACGGGTGGGTGGAAGGCGAACGGAGCAGGGCACGGGTGGGTGGAAGGCGAACGGAGCAGGGCACGGGTGGGTGGAAGGCGAACGGAGCAGGGCACGGGTGGGTGGAAGGCGAACGGAGCAGGGCACGGGTGGGTGGAAGGAACGGGACACGGGCGGCTGGAAGGAACGGGGCACGGGCGGCTGGAAGGAACGGGGCACGGGCGGCTGGAAGGAACGGGGCACGGGCGGCTGGAAGGAACGGGGCACGGGCGGCTGGAAGGAACGGGGCACGGGCGGGTGCAAGGAACGGGGCACGGGCGGGTGCAAGGAACGGGGCAAGGGCGGGTGAAAGGAACGGGGCAAGGGCGGGTGAAAGGAACGGGGCAAGGGCGGGTGCAAGGAACGGGGCATGGGCGGGTGCAAGGAACGGGGCACGGGCGGGTGCAAGGAACGGGGCACGGGCGGTTGCAAGGAACGGGGCACGGGGGGGTGGAAGGAACGGAGCACGGGAGGGTGGAAGGAACGGGGCACGGGAGGGTGGAAGGAACGGGGCACGGGCGGGTGGAAGGAACGGGGCACGGGCGGGTGGAAGGAACGGGGCACGGGCGGGTGGAAGGAACGGGGCACGGGCGGGTGGAAGGAACGGGGCACGGGCGGCTGGAAGGAACGGGGCACGGGCGGGTGCAAGGAACGGGGCACGGGCGGGTGCAAGGAACGGGGCACGGGCGGGTGCAAGGAACGGGGCAAGGGCGGGGGCAAGGAACGGGGCAAGGGCGGGGGCAAGGAACGGGGGCACAGGGCAAGGAACGGGGGCACAGGGCAAGGGCGGGTGCAAGGAACGGAGGCACAGGGCACGGGTGGGTGCAAGGAACGGGGCACGGGTGGGTGCAAGGAACGGGGCACGGGCGGGTGGAAGGAACGGGGCACGGGCAGGTGGAAGGAACGGGGCACGGAGTCAGCAAGACATATAATGAAATGACTAGGCCCCACCAACGTTTGAAGCAGAGAGCTCAACACCCTCATCATTGATTTCTAGAGCGGCTGCAATCTGTATGCGCACCTAACCCTGGCACAGGTATGAAGCACATCTACGCAGATTCTGCCTACTCTACCGTATCTCCACGGCAAGCGTGCACACTAGTCTAAAAGCTGCTCTCTACATTCAGTTCTAATCTATGAACAAAAATATCACCTCCACATATTTGGTCATAAAAGGAGGCTCTCTGGACAGTCTGTATGTCTACGTTTAAAGAGAAAAACAAAAAAGGAGGTTGGAAATAATCAGCACAGCACTGTTCATGTTCAAGGAATTTCCCAGATTTCACCCATCAATGAGATGTTCTGTGACACTCCAGCATAGAAATCTTCACTAATTGCAACACTAGCATGACTGCAGCTTCTGTAGTGCAGCTTCTGTAGTGCAGCTTCTGTAGTGCAGCTTCTGTAGTGCAGCTTGTAGGCGACGCCCTTATATGGAAGCAGGCTGCTCCTGGCTCTCAGTGAAGCAGCTGAAGTCCAAAGTGCAAAGAGCAGATGGAGAAGGCTGGAATAAGAAGTCCTCCTAACCCTTTCCATGTCAGACTCCTTCTGAGCACCAAGAGACGTAACAAACCCCCCAAAAAAGAAATGCTAAAATACTTGATGTTCCACTTGAAGTTCCTGTGACAGACGTCTGAATTTTGCTAAGACAAGTATTACACAAAAAAAAAAACCAACAAAAAAAAACACATTTCATTTTCCTACCATCTTTCCAGAGTTCGGCCACAAATTTGTCTGTAGACTGGTGGAGGAGGGTGGCCACGTTGTCGTTCAGAGGGTCCATGTTCTTCATGAGCCACTCATCGGCCTTATAGTCCACCTGCAGGGAGGGAACGCAGAACCTGTAACTGGCAATAACATGCACCCAGGACCTATTCCGCCCCGTGTTTTGGCTGCTCGCACACCACACCAGAGCGGAGTCATCCACCAGGCAACCTAGGCAGGAGCCCGGGGCCCGATGCTTGGCTTTAGCCATGCTTTAATGCTTGGCTGGCTTCCTCACCTTACAAGAGATGATATAGTTGTAAATGGAAATGTTGGCAACTTCTCTGTGTCTAATGCAATACAAAGCTTGCTGACATTCCACCTTAAACAGAACACCAGGAATTCAGCCAGATTGTAAGATGTGCTGCCTTACCAAAGGTCAAGTCCAATAGGATGCATGCCCCCTCATTCACTTTCCCTTTAATTTGCCTTTTTATGGAGTGCTGGTTGTATAGCTATCACTACACTTCCACCGCTCCCAATGCTAAACCTTCTGGTCTCAGCTCCACCAGCTGCAGAATCGCTTTGCCTACTCACTCCTCTCCTCCTGCCAAATCACAGAGCGCCTTGTATTATGTAAACCCATTCACAAAATACATAGGCTTCTGTGAATGGACAGCAGAAAGCAGGGGCGGGCAGAGCTGCCGCTTTATGAAAAAGTAGCATGACCCCTGTCAAGAGTGCTGGGAGTCTAGGGAAAGCTGTACTTTCGGTGCTCAGTAAAATGGTAAGTTGTGAATAAAAGAAGTCCACAAGGTGGCATGCACCTCGTTGGACTTAATCCATATTAAAGCCAGCAGATGTTAAAAAGTGGCTGAATTAAGCTGGCATCACAGGATAGGACCTGCCCTTTGGCTATCAAGTGTGTGATTCCAGCAGAAAACGATCACCAAAAGGTAAGTGTGGGGAATGGGGATTTATTAGGGAGGGTGAAGTTCCTCTCTAGTTCAGAAGGGGTGCTTTGTAGGGACGGTTACAGCAGCAAATTCCAGTATATAAGATACATTCATATTCCTTCACTAATAGATTTCCACGGGACAAGATGACTAAGGCAGTGTTTCTCAACCTTTACTCAGTCGAGGCACCCTTTAAAATTATGTCCAGTCCCGAGGCACCCTTTAAAATATGGAGAGTCCCGAGGCACCCTTTAAAATTATGGACAGTTCCAAAGCACCCTTTAAAATTATGGACAGTTCCAAAGCACCCTTTAAAATTATGGACAGTTCCAAAGCACCCTTTAAAATTATGGACAGTCCCGAGGCACCCTTTAAAAATTATGGACAGTCCCGAGGCACCCTTTAAAAATTATGGACAGTCCCGAGGCACCCTTTAAAAATTATGGACAGTCCCGAGGCACCCTTTAAAAATTATGGACAGTCCCGAGGCACCCTTTAAAAATTATGGACAGTCTTGAGGCACCCTTTAAAAATTATGGACAGTCCCGAGGCACCCTTTAAAATTATGGACAGTTCCGAGGCACCCTTTAAAATATGGAGAGTCCCGAGGCACCCTTTAAAATATGGAGAGTCCCGAGGCACCCTTTAAAATTATTTTAATAGTTTTATATAAAGCAGCAACATCCACACATGTAGGACACCCAACATTAGAGGTGATTTATTCTTCCAAAGCAAATACACTTTTGCACACCGGTACTGACTAGTATTCCCATGTTTCTCTTCTCCCTCAGTTTTTCTCCATCACTGAGCTAATGTGACCCCAGCACTGATGGAGAGGGGTGGGGGAGGGTCAAACCAGGATCCTGTGCAGGCAACTGACATCCTCCTTATCAACTGATGTCATTGGTTGTCAGGACGCCAGCGGCTAGAAGGTCGCAATGGTGCACAATGAAAACCTGTGGCTTTGTGCAATTAAAAGGCGGGCTTGTTCCACCTGCTGGCTTGTATACAAGTTTTGGGCAATGTTTAGACATTTTGTCAAGGCACCCCTGAAGAAACCTCAAGGCACCCCAGGTCACCTGGACACCCTGGTTGAGAAAGGCTGCTCTATGGGGTGGATGTTACTATAACTGAGTGCAAAATCTGGTGCAGTTGTTCATGGCGGCCAATCAGCTTCTTCTATTAGGCTTTGGCAATAAAACCTGGAAGCTGATTGGATTCTATACAGTGCTGCACCAGATTCTGCACACTCCGGCTTTAGTAAATAACCCCCTATAGGTGAACTACAAAACGTATTCTGTACGATTAGATCAGTAGACAAGATACCTGAGGAAGCACCGCAGCCACCTACCCTGCCGGCGTAATGGATGATGCAGAAATCGGCTTTGTCCTTCAGCTGGCGTGGCTTCTGGAACTTGGAGTGGGTGCCCTGTTCCTGCACCAGCTTGTCCACAAAGGTCTTGTCTGTGGCTTTGGGGAACCAGCACTCCTCGTCCAGCAGAGCCAGGACCCCGGGAGGGTTTGCCTGGGTGGGAAAAAAAAAACAAACCAGATAACAAAGGCTGAACAGAAATTCTGCAAAGTAGTGCTGGTCTATGGTAACAGCAAAAAGGGTTAAAGGCCACCTCCACCTTGACCATATTTAGGGTGTAACATAGCTGCAAGCCGACCCCCACACTCCCCCCCTCTGACAGCTTGACGGGGATCTTCTTCTCCTGCATTGAATATAGCGTGGCTGCGCATTTCTCCTCCTGCACATGTGCCTCATTTATTCACAGAGACCTGTAAATGGAGGAACTACAAGTCGCAAGTGATCACCGCACTACTAGTTCATTTGCACCTCCTCCAGCTCTCTAACTGAAGGCCTGGTACTTGGTACGGACACAGAGCTGGAGGAAGAGTCTGCACGAGCCTGTGCACCGCACCTACCATTCACTGATCGGGGTTACAATGCTGTGCAGGTTCATTTACAGAAAAAAAAAATGGCCGCACATTTTCTTGCTGCAAATTTGCGTGCATTTGTCATTTTTTTGGCAAAAGGTGGACAAGCGACCCATACTGGTGCGCCATTACCTGCCTCCCGCCCCCATGACAGCCGCTGTGATTGTACAAAGCGGGAATCTGTCAGCAGGTCTCGGCCAGGGATAAGAAACAAAGAGATCTTTTAGTAAAAGCAGCACTTAAGACTCACATTACACATTGCTAGGCGCACATTTAACCCCTTGCTACCCCCTTTCCAGCAATCTCTTTGGGGATGGGGGGCCGGGAGGAGGACATAACGGAGAATCTTTTTCCCGAAGTTCTGCTTTAATCGCTTCAGGATCGCCCGCCTTGTACTGCGGAGGGGTGGCTCCTACAGACAAAGCGTACATTGTTGGCCTCTTCCTGGTACAGGGCGCCCAACCCCCCCCCCCCCCCCCCCCCATGACTCCTGCTGGAATTAGTGGGATTTTGTCAGCAGGTCCAGGCCAATCACAGCCCAGATCCCTGACAAACAACACAGAGGGAAAAATCTCTTTGTTTCTTCTCCCTGTAAAGGGAGAAGGAACAAAAATATTTTCAGTAGACAGCAGCACATAAAACACTCATTAACGCTTATTAGGCAAGGAGGGGGGAGTCTCCAATCCCAGAGGACGCCAGTTTTGGAGAAATGTGGTGGTAGGACACCGCGGGAATTTCGAATTTGTATACTGCCTTTATGCACCTTATCTATGCAAGTGCAATATTGTATTGAATAAATCTTTGAGTTTTATCAGGTTGCACTATGACGTCTTTTCTGTTTTAATCCTTCACTACACTGTATGGAGAGCGGTTCGATGTGAGGAATTTGTTTGGGTGACCCCGCAGCCGTCCATCCATCTCCCTTGATATTGCTAGCACTGGTGTCAGTGTGGAATCTGGACACCGTTCGCTCGTTTGATCTCTTGGTTGGAGATCAATGTGTCTTGTAAGAGGCTGAAACTAAAGTCTCAAATATTGGCATTATTACTACAACCTGTATTGGAGGAGAAACAGGAAGTGTATGGCAGACCCTGTATTCTGATTCAGCATCAGAGCGATTGTAAGTGATACTTTCAGCTACAGAGAGTGAAGACCACGGACTGAGCCAATGCAGACACGAATCGAAGCCGACTTTTCTCCAGCAGATGGCGTGAGAGCTCACTGAAAGTCCTTATAAACATATTCAGGTTTTATAGGATATACAGCATATAGTCCAAAGTATATGAACCCCATCAGGGATGGACTTCGGGTGTTTCTAGAGAACATTACTGGTATTGCTACAGTATACTGGATTGTGGAGATGAGCCGGTCAAGTCCATTGACCCCAATGAGTTAAAGAGTAACTTCACTTTCGTAAGAAAAGAAAAAAATTGCAAAAAAAAACCCCATATACAGTTGTGTTCAAAATAATAGCAGTGTGTTGAAAAAAGTGAATAAAGCTGAAAATCCTTCTAATAGCTTTTTTTTTTTTTTCCATCCACACAAATGCATTGGGAACACGACACATTCTATTCCAAATCACAACATGAAGAAAAATAGACCAAATTTGTGTTGTTCCTCTAAAAAAAATGGAAGAAAAGTGAATATTAGACGGTTCAAAAAAAATCGCAGTGTTTGTATTCTTCTTCACAAACTCAAACATTCACTATATAAACTGAGAAATGTTTGAAGATTTTGCTTTCCTTTGAATGACTTCATGAATATTTGGTTGTAGTCGCACTGTTTCTGAGAACTGCTGTACATCTGTGTTGTATGGAGTCCCCCAACTTCTGGCCCCTGTGATCAGGTATTCCAGCCCAGGATGATTGGACCACATTCCACAGTTCTTCTCTATTTCTTGGTTTTGCCTCAGAAACTGCATTTTTGATGTCACCCCACAAGTTTTCTATTGGATTAAGATCCGGGGATTGGGCTGGCCACTCCATAACGTCCATCTTGTTGGTCTGGAACCAAGATGTTGCACATTTACTGGTGTGTTTGGGGTCGTTGTCTTGTTGGAACCCCCATTTCAAGGGCATTTCCTCTTCAGCATAAGGCAGCATGACCTCTTCAAGTATTCTGATGGATTCAAACTGATCCATGATCCCTGGTATGCGATAAATAGGCCCAACACCGTAGTATGAGAAACATCCCCATATCATGATGCTTGCACCACCATGCTTCACAGTCTTCACAGTGTACTGTGGCTTGAATTCGGTGTTTGGGGGTCGTCTGACAAACTGTCTCCGCCCACTAGACCCAAAAAGAACAATCTTACTTTCATCAGTCCACAAAGTGTTGCGCCATTTCTCTTCAGGCCAGTCAATGTGCTCTTTGGCAGATTGTAACCTCTAATTGGCCTAAACTTATGATGAAATTAGATTTTTTGATTTTTTTTACTGGATGTTTTATAGCAAAAAGTCAAAAATATAGGTTTTTTTTTTTTTTTCAAAATTGTCGGTCTTAAAACGCAGAGGCGATCAAATACCACCAACACAAAGCTCTATTAGTGAGGGGAAAAAAAGGACATAAATTTAATTTGGGCGCAGCGTTGCATGACCACGCAATTGTCAGTAACGCAGCACCGTATCACAAAAAATGGCCTGATCAGGGAGGGGGGTAAATCTTTGCGAGGGCAAGGGGTTAAACGAGGCTTCCAAGGACACAGTCCAAACATTATGCCTCTGCATATAATAAAAATCCGAAGGGCACTTTTTTCTTAGGGATTGATAAATATATCCCCAACTGGAGAGGAGGTTTCATTAAAAGAGAAATATCACAGAGGGAGACCAGGTGGATATATGAGATGCGTACGTTTTCCCCCTACGGTTTAAACGTGGAATGGGATGTAAAAGCATATATTAATCACAGTTACCACTGAGGTGGAAAGGGTGTATGAATTTTGATGTTTTTATACATGTGGTTATTACATTTTTTTTTAATTATTATGTATTTATGAGTTTTTTGTAAAAAGGAAAAATCGGAATATTAAAAATATTTTTAAGCATTTTGCGGTTGGTTCCCCCTTTTTTTTTTTTTTTAAACAGATATAATTATTTTTTGACCCAGTACTGGTTTTGAAATTTTTAGAGAGGTTAGTAATGGCCTTTTTATGGTCATTGCTATACTGTTGTTTATTATTTTCTTTTTTTGCCCACAAGATGTCATAAGTGAGGCTTTTGAATGCTCAACTAGTTTTGGGCATTTTACTTTTTACTGGCTGCTTTGGTTTCTTTCAATTACTTCCGATTCTGGTGTTACCTTTGCTCCTTTAATTGGTCTCTGTGCCCCTGATGATGTCATTTATGGTGAAATGCGTTGGGCGGAACCGAAGGCTGTGACATCATTGAGCGTGTTGCTTGTACCTCGAGGAATTTCTAGGATGTCTTTTTTTTTATTATGCCTTTATGCACAGTATCTATGCAAGTGTTCTTAACTGATTTTCCATTAAATATCGGCCGGATTTACACTATTGGAGTGGTCTTTTTGCCTTTTTTATGTATAATGCATCGGTCCTGTTTATGCGAATGCGAGATGAGCTCCTAGGAAGGTATCAAGCCTGGTGGTGGCCGCACTTTGGAGTAACATACTGTGAGGGTCACAGTCTCAACTTTAAAACCTCAGTGTGGTTTGTGGAGCAAACGGGGTGTTTTGGATACGCACACTGGATACAAGAGGAGGATCGCTTCCTTTTTTGGCACTTTATTTATTCATTTGTTGGGAGTCTCATATATAGAAATTTGGACATTATTTTTTTATTTATTCAATGAGTTTGTTTTGTATTTTTTGTTTATTCATGAGTTTGTTTTGTTTTTTTGTTTATTCATGAGTTTTTTTTTTGTTTATCATTCAATGAGTTTGTTTTGTTTTTTATGCATTTTCATGTATTTTTAGCGCTGCACTATTTGTTTCTTTATTGCTGCATGTAGCGCTCTGTTTAATCGATGAAGGTCTACAGCAGAGGTAATGGCTGTGCACACTTACTGGCCTCTCGATGAGGTCAATACAGGGCTGGAGGTCAAGGCCAAAGTCGATGAAGTTCCACTCGATACCCTCCCGCTGGTACTCCTCCTGCTCCAGGATGAACATGGTATGGTTGAAGAGCTGCTGCAGTTTCTCATTGGTGTAATTGATGCAGAGCTGTTCAAAGGAGTTGAGCTGCAAGAGGAAGAGTTAGCATTCACATTTCAACAAATCACAATACATTCAAAAACAAAAAAGAAAAACTAAACCATAAGCAGGTATGCTATTTTCTTTTGCTGTCTCCCTGTCAGAGCAATCAGCTCCCGATGCTGTCAATCAAATGCTGCGCCGAAGGATTGGGGGGTGGGGCTGAGCCGCTCGCTCTCTGTGTCAACAGACGCAGACAGGGCAGCTCGGGAGCTTTTACAGTTGTGAGAAGTGCCGGCCCATCCCACCACTTCCCGTGGTGGTTTCCAGGATCTACCGTACCTCCAGGGAGCCCGGGGACCATGACATACAGAGCAGGAGGTGATCAGGGAACATCTGTACATCAACCCCCCAACCCCACTGCAACTACTGAACCCATACACGACTTGTGATGAGTCCCTTTCAAGTTCAGGGTTGTCATTCCCTGGCTACTGTAGCAGAGGATGAAGCTAATCAATCACTATCAGTGCTGCATTGGAAGGCAGAGGAGCCATTAGTGTTCTAATAGACCCAGATGTCTCCTGTCTCCACCTGTGGCAACATCCACCACTTTCTTCTTCGGGGCATCTGCTTTTAGAAAATGTATAAAGTATGGGGGCTCTAAGAAATTTCTAGCAAAAAAAAAATGCAGATTTTAACAGGTGTGAACATTTGTAAATTTTCCCCCAGCCTTAAAGTGTTACTAAACCCAGGACCCCGCATTCACTATATCCGCTCTCCCCGGACCCCGCATTCACTATATCCGCTCTCCCCGGACCCCGCATTCACTATATCCGCTCTCCCCGGACCCCGCATTCACTATATCCGCTCTCCCCGGACCCCGCATTCACTATATCCGCTCTCCCCGGACCCTGCATTCACTATATCCGCTCTCCCCGGACCCTGCATTCACTATATCCAGTCTCCCTGGTCCCGCATTCACTATATCCGCTCTCCCCAGACCCTGCATTCACTATATCCGCTCTCCCCGGACCCCGCATTAACTATATCCGGTCTCCCTGGACCCTGCATTCACTATATCCGCTCTCCCTGGACCCTGCATTCACTATATCCGCTCTCCCTGGACCCCGCATTCACTATATCCGCTCTCCCCGGACCCTGCATTCACTATATCCGCTCTCCCCGGACCCTGCATTCACTATATCCGGTCTCCCCGGACCCTGCATTCACTATATCCGGTCTCCCCGGACCCTGCATTCACTATATCTGGTCTCCCTGGACCCTGCATTCACTATATCCGGTCTCCCCGGACCCTGCATTCACTATATCCGGTCTCCCCGGACCCCGCATTCACTATATCCGGTCTCCCCCGGACCCCGCATTCACTATATCTGCTCTCCCCGAACCCTGCATTCACTATATCCGCTCTCCCCGGACCCTGCATTCACTATATCCAGTCTCCCCGGACCCCGCATTCACTATATCTGCTCTCCCCGGACCCTGCATTCACTATATCCGCTCTCTCCCCGGACTGATTTTACTGTTGTGGGTTTAGTAACACTTTAAAGTGGCTAAAGCCCATTTAAGGGTAAAACAAAGGCAAGATCATTCTATTTAGCAGAACTACCTACAGTTCTGATTAAAATGAAAAATCTTCTCGTATTGTATTGTGGTTTGCGATGGGTATGAGAAACAAACAATATGCAGAGGGGCACGTGAACGGCTCTGACCCACCTCGAAGATCTCAAAGCCAGCGATGTCCAGGATTCCGATGAAGGAAGCTCCTTGGCGTTTGGTGCGGTCCAGAGCTTTGTTAATCCGGTGGACCAGCCAGCGGAATAGGCGCTCGTACGTTGCTTTGGCTAGAGCTTCTACGGCAAAATCCGCCTGGAAAGAGAGAGAATATGAAAGAATCCTGCCAATGTTTCCAGCTATGGGCAAAGTCAAACGTTGTATATTTGATACAGCGGGTCACTGGAAATAATAGAACAGTTTTGTTACCCACAACATATTTTTAATACCTGTTTATTCTGCCAACAGAAGATCTGCAATTTTTCCATTTCCTATAACAGGCCAAGCTGTCCAACAAAAGCCTCAGTTACAGGGGTTGGGACAAACCATATAACACTGCGGGGGTTCCCATATGGAATAAAAATATATTGGAAATATATTTTTAAAACATTCTCCCCAAATATATTGCCGTATATTTGAAATACAATAATTTTGGCCATATTCAATATATTTAAAAATATATTTCAATAAATATATATATATATACACATATACACACACACTGCATGTTGAAATGCGTTTTTATAACAAAATATATGAAAAATATTTTTAAAAATACATTTCAAATATACCGTATGCCTTTAAAAATAGAAATCAACATTTTTGGAATTCATTTACAAATATATGTAAAAATATATGTTAAAATGACTTTTTTATATGTTAAAAAAATCTGAAGAAAATAATAAAAAAAAAATAATAATTTTATATATATATATTTATATTATATCTCCTAGATTGTAAGCTCCCAGGATCAGGCCCTCCTATCCCTCTTGTATTGATCTGTATTGTTGCTGTATTGTCTCCCGTTATATTGTAAAGCGCTGAGCAAACTGTTGGCGCCATAAATCCTGTATAATAATAATATAATATATATATAATATGGCCAAAATTGTAGTATTTCAAATATATTTTTCTTCCATGTGGGTTGGGGTGTTACAATAGTTATCTTTTAATCATGTGGCCTAAACCACAAGGAGCTGATCTTTAGCCCGGGTTCACACTGATGCGGTGCGGAATTCTCAGCGTTTTCTGTGCGAATTCTGCACTGCATCAGAATCGCACTCCGTTCATGTGAACCACTGCAGGTGTGTATGTTAACATCATCCTGAAATCGGCCTGCAAAACGCGGTGCGATGTGCAGAATCCGATCTCATAGGTGTGAATACCCGTGCGATCTGATTCTAGTGCGGACCAAAAAAAGGGTCCTGCACCTTTTTGGTGTGGTGCGAATACAGCCATACAAAATGCACGGCTCCAATCACACCGCATGTGATGTGCACAGGAGTGCAGTGAAATAACCTTTATGAAAACCAATCAATATACAATGGGCAGTGCAGTGGCTAAATGGTTAGCACTTCCGCCTGGCAGTACTCGGGTCGTTGGTTCGAATCCCAACCACGGCACCTCCTGCCTGGAGTTTGCATGTTCTCCCTGTGCCTGCATTGGTTTCCTCCAGGTACTCCGGTTTCCTCCTACACTCCAAAGACATGCTGGGGGTGAATTGGCTCCTGTCTAAATTGCCCCTAGTATGTGTATGTATGAATGTAAGTTAGGGACCTTAGATTGTACACCCCTTGAGGGTTAGGGACCTTAGATTGTACGCCCCTTGAGGGTTAGGGACCTTAGATTGTACGCCCCTTGAGGGTTAGGGACCTTAGATTGTACGCCCCTTGAGGGTCAGGGACCTTAGATTGTATGCCCCTTGAGGGTCAGGGACCTTAGATTGTACGCACCTTGAGGGTCATTGACCTTAGATTGTACACCCCTTGAGGGTTAGGGACCTTAGATTGTACGCCCCTTGAGGGTTAGGGACCTTAGATTGTACGCCCCTTGAGGGTCAGGGACCTTAGATTGTACGCCCCTTGAGGGTCAGGGACCTTAGATTGTACACCCCTTGAGGGTTAGGGACCTTAGATTGTACGCCCCTTGAGGGTTAGGGACTGATGTGAATGTACAATATATATGTAAAGCGCTGTGTACATTGATGGTGATATATAAGTACCTGAAATAAATAAATATACACTTATTAGGATTTATTTTTAACCATAGACATGTCGCAGAATACATTTTGGCCCTTTTTTTTTCTAATAGAAAGTAGAAAAAAAAAATTTTCAATCCAAATTTTCGGTCTCTCTTTCATTTATATATTTTTTTTTTTCATTTGACATGTTTTACAGCAGAAAGTAAAAAATATTGTTGTCTATAAAAACATTTTGGGGTGACGGCAGCGGCTCACCTGTTCCTTTGTCTGTGCCTTCTGTACGTAGTCTCTGCCCACTTTGATGCGCGGGGTCAGGATGGCTCGGGTGAACTCCATTACATTCATGCCCAGCAGGTGGCAGAGTTTCTGTGCGGCTGAAATGAGAAGTGGAGATGAGGCCCCGGCGCCTGGTTCATGTCATACACAGAGCTCACCTCCTCCTAACCCGTGATGTCTGAGAGGGGGGGGGGGGGGGGCACCCAAATCACCAACATCTGCTGAAAATCAGCCCCACGTCCTGTATAATGACCCCGCCCGACTAATGCAGGTCCATTTCTGCCAGGCAGTACCATGTGCAGCACTGCACCGCTCTGTACCTGCAACCTAGGCATGAAGTCTAATCACCCTCTGCCAAGTCAGGGCTCTGGGAACTCAGCACAGGGATGGTGGGAACCCCTCAATTGGCACAGCAGGTGTACAGACCCAGAAACTCAGCACAGGGATGGTGGGAACCCCTCAATTGGCACAGCAGGTGTACAGACACAGAAACTCAGCACAGGGATGGTGGGAACCCCTCAATTGACACAGCCAGTGTACAGACCTGGGAACTCAGCACAGGGATGGTGGGAACCCCTCATAATGGGCACAGCAAGTGTACAGACCTGGGAACTCCACACAGGGATGGTGGGAACCCCTCAATGGGCACAGTGGGTGTACAGATCCGGAAAATAAGCCCAGTGATGGTGGGAACTCCTCATAATGGGCAGAGCAGGTGTACAGACCCGGGAACTCAGCACAGGGATGGTGGGAACCCCTCATAATGGGCACAGCAAGTGTACAGAGCCGGGAACTCAGCACAGGGATGGTGGGAACCCCTCATATTGGGCACAGCAGGTGTACAGACCCGGGAACTCAGCACAAGGATGGTGGGAACCCCTCATAATGGGCACGGCAGGTGTACAGACCCAGGAACTCCACACAGGGATGGTGGGAACCCCTCATAATGGGCACAGCAGGTGTACAGACCCGGGAACTCAGCACAGGGATGGTGGGAACCCCTCATAATGGGCACAGCAGGTGTACAGAACAGGGAACTCCACACAGGGATGGTGGGAACCCCTCATAATGGGCACAGCAGGTGTACAGACCCGGGAACTCAGCACAGGGATGGTGGGAACCCCTCATAATGGGCACATCAGGTGTACAGACCCAGGAACTCAGCACAGGGATGGTGGGAACCCCTCATAATGGGCACATCAGGTGTACAGACCCGGGAACTCAGCACAGGGATGTAGGAACCCCTCATAATGGGCACAGCAGGTGTACAGACCCGGGAACTCAGCACAGGGATGGTGGGAACCCCTCATAATGGGCACATCAGGTGTACAGACCCGGGAACTCAGCACAGGGATGGTGGGAACCCCTCATAATGGGCACATCAGGTGTACAGACCCGGGAACTCAATGCAGTCTATATAGAAAAGTCATTCTTTTCTATATAAATTGATACAAATTGAACATTGTAAGTAGCAGACAGTCTATCCATCCACAGTAGCATGACCCCAGGATCCCCGCCATTGTGTGATCCTCTCCATGGAAGAGTCTTTGTGGCAATGAACGGATTTTCCCGACTCTGCTGAGAAGACAGTAACATGATATTGATGACTTCAGCCCGGCGCTATGCACCATTCCCCCCAGACCGCCGTCTTTCCACACACATGGCACACTCGGAGGACATGTGGAGCAAAGATCTGAAGTTTTTGGCTAATTTGTTTTTTTGGGACCGCAGATTTAATTATAATCTCATTCTTTTTATAGGAAGTCGGTGATCTGGATCAATGGGAAGATTTAACACCTTAGGCAGTCTGTGATCCACTGCACAGAGGACTATGGGTAATTAAAGGGGCAATCCACCCAATACTTTGGTGTGCTTACCCACCGATTTTTATCTCTTGGCTCTCAGCTCACAGTGTGCAGTGAAATCAGAGGAAGTAGTCCAGGAGAGGAGTCGGTACCACTGTGCAAGACTGAAGGGAAGGCCGGAGGGAGGATTTAACCACTTCTTATCCGGCCCTTGTATATAAACGGCCGGATGGTGGAAGTGCAGGGGCGGGTGGCCATTTATAAACGGCATCCCTGCCCCCTGCTTGTGTACGCTCCCTGGGAGCACACAGCACCGCGATCCGGTGCCCCAGTGGAACACCGATCGTCGGACGGGACCTCTCTGCGAGGTCCCAATCATGTGATCACTGATTGGCTAATCAGTGATCACATGCAGAATAGTAAGCAAGATGTCACTTCTGACATCATTGCTTACTATGTGTGAAATCTGTGAATGATCACAGAGGTCACATGGTACAGGGCTATTCACAACAGCTATGTACCATGTGACAAGCTGTGACCAATCACAGCTCACACAGCATTTCTCAATGGCTGCAAGAATGCAGCCAGAGGGAAGGAGAAATGATTGTACAGACTTTATGGGAGTAAAAGCAATCAGTGTAAAAAATAAATAAATCTTCATCACCCCCACAAGTAGTACAGTGTCACTATGGTGACACTGTATTGCTAGGGTGACAGTATGTAAAAAGAAAATATAAAAAAATAAAATAAAAATGTAAAAAAAAAAAAATACTTTTTGGTTATAAACTAATTTTGGTTATTTTGTTTTTACTAAAAAGATAACAGAATACATTTTGGCCAAGATCTATGAAGAAAGATTATTTATTTGCAAAATTTTATAAGAAAAACAATTTTTTTGCAAACATTTTTCGACTTTTTAATTCATATAGCAAAAAAAAAAATAAAAATCCCACCAAAATAAAGCTTTATGTCTAAAAAAAAATGCTAAAAAATTTATATGGGTACAGTGTTGCATGACCGCGCAATTGTCATTCAAAGTATGACAGCGCTGAAAGCTGAAAATTGGCCTGGAAAGGAAGGGGGGAAAGCGTCCGGACTGGAAGGGGGGGAAAGCGTCCGGACTGGAAGGGGGGGAAAGCGTCCGGACTGGAAGGGGGGGGGGGAAAGCGTCCGGACTGGAAGGGGGGGGGGAAAGCGTCCGGACTGGAAGGGGGGGGGAAAGCGTCCGGACTGGAAGGGGGGGGGAAAGCGTCCGGACTGGAAGGGGGGGGGGGAAAGCGTCCGGACTGGAAGGGGGGGGGAAAGCGTCCGGACTGGAAGGGGGGGGAAAGCGTCCGGACTGGAAGGGGGGGGGAAAGCGTCCGGACTGGAAGGGGGGGGGAAAGCGTCCGGACTGGAAGGGGGGGAAAGCGTCCGGACTGGAAGGGGGGGGGGAAAGCGTCCGGACTGGAAGGGGGGGAAAGCGTCCGGACTGGAAGGGGGGGGGGAAAGCGTCCGGACTGGAAGGGGGGGGAAAGCGTCCGGACTGGAAGGGGGGGAAAGCGTCCGGACTGGAAGGGGGGGAAAGCGTCCGGACTGGAAGGGGGGGAAAGCGTCCGGACTGGAAGGGGGGGAAAGCGTCCGGACTGGAAGGGGGGGAAAAGCGTCCGGACTGGAAGGGGGGGGGAAAGCGTCCGGACTGGAAGGGGGGGGGGGGAAAGCGTCCGGACTGGAAGGGGGGGGGAAAGCGTCCGGACTGGAAGGGGGGGGGAAAGAAAGCGTCCGGACTGGAAGGGGGGGGGAAAGCGTCCGGACTGGAAGGGGGGGGGAAAGCGTCCGGACTGGAAGGGGGGGGAAAGCGTCCGGACTGGAAGGGGGGGGGGAAAGCGTCCGGACTGGAAGGGGGGGGGGGGAAAGCGTCCGGACTGGAAGGGGGGGGGGGAAAGCGTCCGGACTGGAAGGGGGGGGAAAGCGTCCGGACTGGAAGGGGGGGAAAGCGTCCGGACTGGAAGGGGGGAAAGCGTCCGGACTGGAAGGGGGGAAAGCGTCCGGACTGGAAGGGGGGGAAGCGTCCGGACTGGAAGGGGGGGAAGCGTCCGGACTGGAAAGGGGGGGAAGCGTCCGGACTGGAAGGGGGGGAAGTGTCCGGACTGGAAGGGGGGGAAGTGTCCGGACTGGAAGGGGGGGGAAGTGTCCGGACTGGAAGGGGGGGAAGTGTCCGGAGTGCAAGTGGTTAATGATGGATCAATGGTTACAGGGCTGATTTACTTTGTGTCATTTGTATCTGGAATTTCGCTGTAACAAACGAGAATCCCTACCCTCTTCCAAGCCACGCGGGGATGTGAGGAATGCAGGCGCGGAGCGGGGTACATAATGACTACATAACCGCGGCGGCTCCAGGTTTATTGTTGGGTTCCTCCTAGACGGGGAACAATGGGTTAGGAAGTGCTATTTCTTGGCTCGGATGGGCCTCTGGGGGATTCGTCAGTCTGGCTGCAGATTCTTGGCCTCTAGTCTGCTTTCTGCAGCCCGGGACCAATGAAAATAAACACTTCCAACAAGCTATGTATGCGCTCCCACCGCCGCTCCCCCCACCGCCCCGACTTCTGGAGGACGATGAGACGCAAATAATCGGCAGGGAGGGGCAGCAGCACGTGAGCCGCACTGTAGAGAAGGGAGGCTGGTATGTGCCACGGGTAATGCAGTCCCAATGGGAGGAATTTCTGGGGTGCAGAGGGGCCACAGACTGAAATCATGACGTTTTGCTGAGTTCTGATTTCTAACTGACTGCAGAACTGTGTGGTTTCAGAAATAAATGAGCTGTGAATAAATGAAGAGCGTCTCCAACAGTCGCATACATGTGGAGGAATTCTAAATTGGAGGAGCTTTGTGTAGCCGTGCCAAAACCTCATGGTGTCATAGCGGTCAGTGGTGGGGGCTGGGCAGCTGGTCTTCCCTACACCTTTAATAGACAGTGTTGTCTTGTCCATGTAGGACCAACCTATACACACCTTTTCAGCATACACCTTACAGCACGTGTGTCAAACACATGACCCGCGGGCCAAATCCGGCCCGGCACACCATTTAATGGGCCCCTCACACCTCTCCTGCAGCTGCGGCATCCCCCATGTCTCTACACCCATCTTCTCTCAGGAGTCAGCAACAGAGAGGAGGACAGAACTCCTCCTCCAGATCCTGCACTTCTCTGTGAAGCCACAAAAAGAGGCTCAATCTCTGCACCCCCCCCATCTCAGCAGTCAGCACCAGAGAAGAGGACAGAACTCCACCTCCAGATCCTGCGCTTCTCTGTGAAG